ATCCAAATTTGAAAAGAATGTTGCAGTTTCTTTGGTGTCATTTATTTCAAGTTCACTGGAATATATCGAGTTGACATATGAATGAAAGTATATGAATGCAACATATATATGTTTTTTTTCATGTATAAGATTTTTAAAGAGTTTTCTGCTTCATATGAATACCACAGAAAATAGGTCTTCTAAAAACAGAGACCGATTCGATTGTTTTGTACATACGAGGGCTGTTCAATAAATAATGTCCTCTGTGCTCAGAAAGCAACAAAAACGCATTTCAAGGATTTAGCCTCAATGATTTTACTTAAATATTTTCTTCTAATTGAAACACATTTTTATCCAATTTCTGATTGTTTTTAATACGCATTTTTGAGTATTGCCCTTCATATACTGGAATATGGCAGATCCTATGATTTCCTTGACTTGTTTTTTCTTTCTGAATGGTGTTTTTTTCAAGTTTGCAAAATGAAAAAAGTGAAAGAATGAAAGATCTGGCGAATATTGTTGGTTTGATAAAACATTAACTTTCTGTTTATCCCCAAAACTACTTTATTCTTCATGGCCTGTGGGTTAGGACGCTGTCATGACAAAATTTAAAGTAGTGGGTTCCTGATTCTGGTTCCATCCTCCCATAAACCTTTCGATTTTTTTTTGGCAAAAATTTGCATTCTAGACTTCTCCAGATATTGAACTGCCTCCCTGAATAGGAATTGAACAAGAGTACTAATATTTAAGAAAATGACATATCAGACTATTTTTGTGCTTTTAAAATTCGTTGCTTTTTTCAGACCTTGGCTGTTTTTGTCAGGTGTATCTTATTGTAAATTTGTTTTGAGGTTTAAAGCAATGAAATCACTTTCACTATCTGATTGAAGTTCAGACAAATGTGGATAACTTCAATTTTTGATTTTTTAAAATAATTATTTAGATATTCTTACACGTTGTTGTTTTCACTCATTTTTAAAAAATAGGGTGACCATGGAGTCCTAAGCTTTTTTACTGTTAAATGTTTCTTTAAAACATTGTAAACCACCCCCAAAATGATGCCTATCAATTTTGCTAGGTGTCTTAAATTCATCAAACATCAGCATATCAGCAATCTCGTTTAAAGTCATCATTTCGTAAGTTTTACGGTCGATACAATGACCTTGTCAGCAAATGTCAAATGGTGACTGACATTTTTCATACTAATTGTTTAGTCCATTATTTATACACTGAATTGACGACGGATTTTCCTGTTATTTCCATGACAAGGATAATGACAAGGAACACATGGCGAGCCAAATTCACAAAAATGGGGCAATCGATAAACTAGGTTTAGTCAGTTTACGGACTGTAATCTATAGGATGTAAACTAACGCGATAACTATGTTTCCTCCATGGCAAAACATAGATTATCTGATAAATACAGTTTCATGATTTGTAAACTATAGTTTACAAACCGTTAACTATAGTTAACGAGGTCACGATTTGTGAAACTATGATTAACAACTCTTAACTATAGTTTACGGTTTGTAAACGCTCTCATTGTTGTTTATCTCATGTGAATTTGGCGTGCCATATGGCTCCTATTTTGCATTGTCTAATTAACTTCTGAGCTTGATTACTCTTCGTAATCTCCACATATTTCATTCCTATATAACAAAAACACTAAAACAATTTAAAATAGAGATGATTTAATAATTTACAGCGAGACAAAAAAATACTATATCACAATCAACATTCATGATAAATGATTTTTACAAAACATGATATCACAATTACGAGACATGATCACAGATTCAATAAACAAGACTAACAATAGTGCATGTTTTCCTGGAGAGAAAGAGAAAAAAACATCTTTCAGTTTTACAAAACAACTGGGTGGGTAGTTTAAGATCTTTAATGCTTGAACCTAACAAAAAAATGTTCTCTTTTTCTGAGAAAGCAAAAAAAAAAAAAAAAAAGAAAATAGGGGGTTTGCACACTATGCAATCTGAAAGAAACATTCTATAATAATCTTTATTTTAATTTTTTTCTTACAAGAGTAAATTACACGTTGTCTTACAGAAGGAAAATGCCATGACTGATGCTGATAAACTATATGGTCAATAAAAGTGATCTACAACTAATACAATGTAACACAACAAAACTTTGCAAAGTTACAAAAACATTTATAACAATTTTCACTTAATAATGAACTTAAACACATTGTAAATGATTAATCAAACAAAAATACTGTGTGAACCCTGAAATGCTGAATAAATGATACGTGCATTTACAAACTGATTGTGAAAACACAATGGGAAATGACGAATTGGGTGAAACACCAGCATTGATGGAAATAAACTTAGACAAGGTATATACCATTATCTGTAGTAAAAGCTACTGGGTTTTTTTTGTCAGACATTTCGTTTTTTTTTTTTCTGTTGTACTGCTGTTGTTCACTTTAAACAGGAAGAATATTCTTATTGCTACTAAGTTAGTCCTACTCTCTCTTCAGTTTTTTTTTACTGAATTTAAAATTCTAAAAGAAGTTGATTGATTATTAAATTTAAAACTATAGGATGAGATCAAATATGTGCAAAAAAATGCTTCAGGAAAGGAATGAAGATTCGATTTCAAACAAAACAAAAATTGTCCTAATATATATATATATATAAAAAAAAAAAAGAAAAAAAAACCATGCAATGTGCAAAATGCACTCATTTTATTTTTTAATTAGCCATTGATTGAATTTGGATGGTCTTTAATATTAAGTAACAGCTTAATAATGTCAGTCTAATTCCTGACAATACACAACTTGGATGTTGTATTTTTTTGAATGCAAAAAGTGAAGGATATGTGGAAAACTTTGTTAACTTTGAGCCCCAGCCTACTGCATTCAAGTAGCAAACAGGAGTATTGATACATGTACTTTCAAGACAAATTTTATCCATAAATATGTTTCAGTTACTTGGCCTGTAAAGGCTACATTAAATTTGTTTGAAAGTTACATGCAAAAGATGATTTCTAAACACTGAAATTAACAATATAATAACTAAATGTAATCTTTCTGTTTCTATATAATTCAAGCTGGTGAAAATGCAAGAAAGCATTCCTCAAATTTTTCCTTGAATGTTACGCAAAACACTCTTTGAAAAATCCTTACAATTTTTCCTGAAAATATATGGACATGTCTGTCTTGACCACAAATGTGAGTATTACAAACCAAAATTTAAAAAAATAAATGAAAAAAATAATATAACTAATTACAAAAGAAAATGGAACTAACATAAAATGATTCAATGGAGTTCATATCTCCATTGATGAAAGTACACTTTGACATCCTTTGACAAACAAATAAAAAAAAATCAACAAGAAAAATAACAAGATTCATAAACTAAAACTCTATACACCAATATTTTTTTTCAAAAATACTCTACAATACCAACCATGTACATATACATGTATATACATCTTCATCTCTGAACATAAAAAAACAACCCTGACTTTTACTCCTGTGTTGTCAATAGCTCTCTCAAAAGATTGCTTTTTAAAAAATACTTTTTTTTCAATTTGACATTAAATCAATTTTTTTTTATCTAATAAGAGAAGTGAATACATTTAATAAGATAGTCCTTTTTTTAGAATTACCATCTAAGTAAGCTTAAAAAAAAATTAACAGAAGCTGAAATAATTTTAAGAAAGGGGGAGAGGGGAGTTTCTCTCGTTCTTGATTTTTTTTTTTTTTTTTTTTTTTTGCATGTCACAAAATTAACTTTAGGTTCTGATGAACTACAGATACATCACATAAAATGAGATTCAGCAATCAATGTAATATGAAGTAGCAATCATTTAAAATAAATTAAAGGCCATTTTCTGAACGTAATGTTGCCAAATCCAACTGATAAATGGCCCCTTAATTAGTGACCAATGATAAAATGAATGACTTGTTCCATGTCAAATGATGTGAGAAACTTTCTTTTATATGTTTTTCCTTGAAGTTAGTCATACATCCGTAAATTTCACACTTTTCTTTGAAAGAGAAATTTTGTGACTACAACTTCAATTTGTTTGTCATACATCCATGAATTTCAAACTTTTCTTTGACAGAGAAATTTTGTGACTCGATTACTTGGCAAGAAACAATTTGAATCAATTGTACAGTAAGTATTAACTGGCCATTGTCTGGCATTGGGGGAAATCCCCTCCTCTTAAATATGGATGAAACTCGATTGAACCAATGATAGAGAAATATCTTTCAGAGTCATGAAACATGACTCTTGAAACATGAAACATGACTCTTTCGGGATTCATTTGTAACCCCAGTATGTTGTTATTTAGCTAAGACTTTATCAACAACATTAGATTTACAATCATTATTGCACAGAAATACATATACACAATATCAAACAAAAATGTTTAATTGTTAATTAACAATGTCATTGTTGCAGTAATATTTTGATTTTTTATACTTTTTTGTAGAAGTATTTACATATGTATATATACTTTCATTATTTCAGCAACAAAATGATTCAACTTGACAACAATCAACAAATATGTAAAAAATATTTCTAGCATCTATCTTTAACATGTTTAAATAATTAAGGTACAGTGTAAGTCAATTTTCAGGTCTGATTGTACAATGACAATTGATGACTAAGGATAATTCTTTTTGAAATCTTATCTGAAATAAAATATATCTCTCTTCTTTTAAAGCATATGAAAAACCAAAATATTTTTTTTTAAAAGGTAATTAAAATCTTAAAGCAATATGAGCTGCATTTTTGAAAATTCTATTTTGCTCTGAAAATGTGTTATTATGTTAAATTTGTAAGTAGCTTTAACCTTTATGATCAATTAGACTAAAACAAAGCAGAAGAAAGACTTCTATATACAATCCAATATACCGTTTTATATAAGAAATCATTATTATACAGGACAACAATTATGTAATCTTGATTCAATTGAAGCTTATAAATAGTTCTTCCATTGCAAATATAAACAACAGATGTTTATTAACGTTACTTTTTTCTGTCATTGAAATAGTTATTTACAATTTTGCAACAAAAAAATCTGACATCAAAGTTGCAGCTCATATTGCTTTAAATGTAACCTTGACCTGAAAGATGTAGCAGTACCTTAAAGCACACCTTTTTTAATTAATGTCTATCTCCAAAAAAAAAAAAACATTCAGCAAGTAATACATAGAATTATGAAATAAATACTTTTTTTGTTTTCATATTCCATCAACAACTCACTAATTCTATTCCTCACTTTAAGTAGTGACCAACACTTGTCGATATTTCACAATATTCACTGGGGAAGCTTCTGATGGTATCCATGGACGACAACCTCGTCGTAAGCGGGTGGTGACATTCTTGGATTTCCTGACAAGGGACCAAATTCATCTGAGTATCGGGACTACAAAATAAAACACAAAAAAATTGTCAGGTAAAATTCAGACTAGAAAAGTGCTGCAAAGTTCTGAACCAATAAAAATCATATAATTCATTGCATGTACTACAGTATAGCATGCAACTTTACTGAAAGTTGGAAACAGTTTTTTCCCTTAAAATATATAAGCATGTTTTCAAAACAGATGTCTTTCTTTCATCTTTTTTTTAAGCATTTCTCACATTTCTCTAGCAATAATACATACATTTGAAAAAATATGCATTTTCTACTCATAAATATTAATCAATCGCAACAACTTTTATTTGTAATTTTTCAGTCTGAAATCAATCTGCAACTAAATTTACTAATTTTCGCAACAGATTCAACATCTTACATGTACATAAATACAAAGGTGAATAATTGGTTTGCGATGAAAAATATTCATGAGTAAAAAAAGATTGTGAAACTTGCAGATATTTGTTGCTCAAGAATAAAAGTTCAGTAAGAATTCTTGTTTTCCTTTGTGACTTACGGTATGTAAATGTGCTTCTTTGTGAGACAAAGGACTATAGGATGGAGGGATTGTTCCAAAATAAATAATTCTCTCTCTGTATCCAGATCGCCACATGTATATACAGGAAGTTAACAAGATCATGAAAAACACCAAACCAAACCTAATAAAACAAAGAAGTTTATTACATATATATAAAGGCCTCAAATAACAACATCCAAATAAAACTTGAAAAAAAAAAGAAGAAGAATGTATCATGTTGATGATTGTTGTTTGATTTCACTGATCATGTTGATATTAATTTCATAAATGTTATAATTTAAAATGATACTGACTAGAGAAACTCTAAATATAAAGCTAATTCTTTCATTCTCTTGAAACAGCACAGATTTGTATCCTTATTTCCAATAAAGAAAGAATTATTTGTTTGTTTGATGTTTAACGCCTCTTACAGAGATACTACCACTTGTCAGCACAGGTACTTGTGGACAGGACCCCTACCCTACACCCCCCCCCCCTGTGAAAAAAATGTCCGACAAGCCCCGGGGTTGAATGTGGGGGGGGGGGGTCTGTCCACAAGTACCAGTGCTTGTCAGTGGAGAGTCAGTGGGGCCCTCAGGACAATTGAACAGTGAGGGGTTCTTTTTGTGCCAGCATCAACTGTGACACAGTTCCTCAGTTTATACACTCTCATCTGAAGGATCAGTTTCCACATCCCACTGTTGGATTTGAACCAGTGACAAAAGGATCACTCCTTACTTCGTGACTCTAAAGCAGATGCTCTTACCACTGTGCCATGTTGGTGACTAGAAAGCATGACTGTATTATGTTGGGGAGGGGGGAGGGAGATTCATGACTTACCAGAAATACCACAGCTCCCAAACTGTGTATGAAACACAACATATGTTTTCTCCACAGCAGTATTCATTGTTCTCACACCTACAAATCAAAAAGTAAAAACAGTATAATATGTGAAATAAACATGATAAATAATGCATAGGCTTTTAACAGAAATGCGTGACTTTAAAATCTAGACAAAAGTGTACCTAGATTCTTTTTTTGTCTAACTTTTTTTTGTAAAACATTTAAATTAATATTTTCTATTGTGCAATAATCTTTTAAATTAATTAATCCTTCAATTCACTGTCAACACTGGTTGCTCTGGTAATAAAAGCAACACAGTGGGTATACATATAATTATGACATTAATTAATCTGTTGTTGCATAGTAAAACTAATTAACAGGGTGTATAAACACATGATGTTTCAAAAGGTGCTTAATGCAGATAGAAAGAAAACAATTATGCTTCCAACTGACTGGAAAACAAACAATGTCCTTACCTGGTCCCCCACCATTAGGATCTTTGTTACACTCTGAAATTTAGCAACCATCAGAATTTCAGAGCATAACAAAGATCTGATTTTAATCTGATTGCTGCTCCCTCCCAACCCCATCCCAAAGGGGCTAACTAAACAACAATATGTGAAATATCCTTCTGCTTACTGAGGAATTTATGTGTACATGTACAAGCTTTAAAAAAAAAAACAAGCAAAATCTAATTAATGACTACCACTAACTCGTTAAGAAATCATTTATAAATACAATATTATACAATTATGGACTCTTTTGGTGTTGAATATGGTTTGTTATTCACCAGAAAAATATTCATATTGACCGAGGCGAAGCCGAGGTCAATATGGATATTTTTCTGTTGAATAACAAACCATATTCAACACCAAAAGAGTCCATAATTGTTTTACTATATAGTCGGGATTTGAATACATAAGACATTGAAGGCTGTATGACGACATCATTTTCATTTGCGATATTCCATTGTTGTAAATAAAAAAAAAATCCAGGTTACTGTTTGTAACCTCTGTGTTTTCCTTACCGAGTTTCGCGATGTGTAAGACGTCCAGATGTTAAAAATTAATCCTGAAATAGGTTTGAATAATTGTTTTCCTGCTCAGATACGTAGCTCGCTGCAGCCGTTGCAACCATTGTTTACAACGTTATTCGATATTTTGATTGTGACGTCACAATGCCGCTGCACGCGCATTGACCCTCCGGTGAATACGGCCTAAAATCCGGTGAATATGTAGTGTTATGAACTGTTTGCATTTGTATAGATTATATAGAGACTATAAATAGACTATACAATAAAGTTATATACGGTGTGAAAATATGTAGCACTAATTCATACATGTAAATACCAGAATAACTAATACCTAGCAATTGCACTAAACTTTGAGTATGGCAATTTATGTAGGCCATCATATAGAGTATTATTACTAAAGAGGTGTAACTTTAATCAAAATTACAGTAAATATAAGAATCTCACAAAACATACTTACTTCCCACTATCACAGTAATAAGCATCGACCTGAAATAAAAAAAAATTACTAGAGTATTACTGCACTCATTAACACATCATCTGTATTAATTTTCATGATCACTACTAAGATTATAAATTATTTTCGTAGAAGTAAGAATAATCTAACTCACTACAGTGTCTCTGGACAAGCCAACCAGGTCCGTAGGACAGTATCATTTTTATGATAGAACGGTCTATCTAATTTAGTAGATCTATACAATGTAGTATACTATAGAAAAACATATTTTTTTCTCACTCCCCCCCGGTCAAGGATTTTTAGCCGGGCTTATTGCTCAAAGAGCAATTGCCGGCTTATGTCATCCTGTTCAAGGCAGGAAGTTGACCCCATAGTTGCCATTTTAAAGTTACGTACAAAAATATAGTTCTTACTTTCAACTGCTTTTGAGATAATACAAACGCTAAATAAAACAACAAAAACAAAACGAAGTTTAATCTATATAAATAAACATTAGTAGTAATGACTTTGAAAACTTCATCCTAAGTCAAAGAGCATAGTTCATTAGCGTAAGGATTTTTGATAACCAATGTTATCGTAGTTCTCTACACATACGAGGTAAAGCAGGAGAGGGAACCAGACTGGCCTGTTTGTTTACATTCAGCTGCGGTACCAGATTAATTCTGATTCTGACAAAATCGGACCGTGGTATTAGGATTGAAAAACTCACTGTCAGTGTCTTATCATCTATATTGATAATTTTAAAATAATTTTTTATCAAAATATAAACGTGATTCATGTAAGAAATTCATTCTACTCTGTAAATGAGCCCGGCTCTCTGTACTTCTGAGTACTTTGATTTTTGGTAGTGCCCCCCCCCCCTTCCAATAAAACACTGTTAGGTCCCCCAGCTAAAATTATTCCTATAGATCTGTTCAGTATTATTGTAGGGAAATTTTGATTTTTCAGAGACACTTTTTTTGTGAAAATAGGCATTAACTGTAAGTCTTACAAAGTTAATTGTGCTTCCATTTATTTGGTGACGTAATCAAATCAGGTAATGAAAGATTGGTGACAATAAACACAAAACTCTGCATTGATTCATAATAAGTTATTCTGCACAGTTCCCTTTCAATGTCTGTGTTTTTTAAATTCCTCCAGCTATGCCTATTCAAATCCAGGTGTACCATAATACAACACTTACAAAACAGCTGATAGTGAATTAAAGAAATCACGCCACATCGACGTAGAAAACAGCTGACAAAGAAAACATTCATAACCAGCAAATTCAGCAGGATTTTTACAATAGAATTTTTGGGAGAAATAAATAGAATGGTATTTCAATTTATCAATTTCTTCCTAACTTACCTGTCTGATCAGCAAAGAGGACACAAAAACTGTCAAGACGGACAGGCTGTCCGCCATTTTCAGTGTTTATTTACTATCTAATGTCAAGGTCAACAGAAAAATATAACTTAAAATTTGTACCGTTGGCATTCTTTTTTCCGCGAGAAAAGCCCTCCTTCGATAATTTTTTTTATTTAAATAAATGAATAAATTAATAAATATTTTATGCATATAATGTTTATCATGCATGAATTTTTACAGAAATTCTCATGCCCCTGGCCCATAAGGCCATATTCAAAGAATAATTTTTTTGCTATGTCCTTTCAGAGTTGGATCTCTTGACCTTGAAATATGCATACATGTACTGAATTTGAGACACTTGAAATATATAGGCAGGGCATAAGTGTTTCATACATATGAAAACCAGACTATAAACATCCATTATATATATAGTAATATCATGAATGTGTGACTGCATTATAATAGTCATATAGGTGGGAATTTAAAGTTATTTCATTAAAAATAATTCTCTTCTTCTCCAGAAAAGCTGCTGAAATAATGATTTGACAGCGATATTCATGTTTTTCAAACCAACCCATGTATATTCCCCCCCCCCCTCCTTCTGAAGAAATGTGTGAAAAACTGATATTGATACTGTTTTAGTTACCGTTTATGTTTGTTTACAGATGCAAACATGATAAAGAAGCAGTCTCTTTTTTTCTATTGATAAGCTTTCAAATATGGTTATATGTACATCTTAATTTAATTGGTCAAAATATAGAGTGCAAATTCATAAATATGAAAATCCATGATCAGGTAATTTTAAATTTTAAAAAAGACAATTTTATTTTCCACAATTCCAACCAAAGAAAAAGTTTTATAAATTAAAGAAAACTCTTTCAAAGGTTACAGTCTGAATTTTTTATTGATTCAAAACAAGTGCTAGTACATACATGTGTTATATATATATGTAATACAATAACCTTGCACCATGAACTAACATAAAGCATTTTATACTCTGATAACAGCTGAGCACCATTCTCAATAAACATATTGTTTCTTCCACCAGGAATACTAGTAATCATATTCTTCTAAAATTGTCCACTAAATTGACACTCCAATAATTATGGCCTATAAGAGAAAATGGTTGTTAATACTGTTAAATACAGTTAATACCTTTCTCAATTAAAAAAAAAATATGACCAAATTAACCAACTATGATTTCATTCACTGACCCAAATATTTTTTTATCATTGTCAAATACAGAAATTGCATGACAAAGGCATATAGTACGTGAAAACAAATTTAACCCTTCAACCAATCAAAATAAAGATAAAAAGGGCAAATGCATATTTCCTCATTATGCATATATTATTTATGCGGAAAAAATTTAACATTCAAACTATATGATTATTTATAAATTACAACTGCACAGAGTATTATGCTTGTTTAACATGTATTATTTTGGGCAAAATATGTATTTTTAAAATAATTAATGCTGAAATATTAACAATGTAATAACAGTATCTAGCACAGGGGCTTGACATTTTTAACCTTTCTTTTCATGAATATATCTTTCCCCATACTATAATAATTATTATAGCTAGTATGGGAAATGTTTATTTATGAAAAGAAAGGTTAAAAACATCAAGTGCAATGGTATTTTATTTAGCTATTATGTATACACAGAGTTACAAGAGGCCCACGGGCCTTATAGGTCACCTGAGTATTGTGTAACAACTTTCAAACAATTAAATTTGGTTCGTGTTTTAAACCAGAGGCCATGAAATTCACAATTTTGAAAGAGGCACCATTGCTTATCAAAATTATAAACTTAGCATGCTTAATTTATTTACTTAATGCCCAGAGGTAGCTCAGAGTAACAAAGAGAAAATGCACTTCCATTTTATAATCAGTCGTGCACCTCACCCCAAAGGAACCACTGACCCTGGGGCCACATATTTAAAAATTTTGCAAATTTTATCATGAAATGGTAGATTAATACCAAAGATCAGATTTCAAAGCATTAATTTATTTTCAGACTATATACCCCCCCCCCCCCCCCCCGGGTGAGGGGGGGGGGGCATAAAAAATAACCATTTTTGTTAGATGCACCTTTCTTCATCATATATATATATATATATATATATATATATATATATATATATATATAGGTAAATCTTTTTAAAAAAGAAACACGAAAACCTTTAGTTTAGCTTAAGCGCTTTCATTTCAAATCTTCAGAAGCTTTATAATACGTAACATAGCAACATAACGTCATAACGTCATAATAAGCGGAACATTACATACAAACGTCTATTGTGACGTCATAGTCAAACTTTGCGGGAAAACTGTAGAATGAAAATAATAAGTACAATTTTTACAACAATTATGCTCAATTGTTCAGTCTAGGTTTGAACAAATGTATAAAATGTTTTTCTTTCTCACGTCTCTGAATATCACTTTCACTTGAAAGTTTGTAAAAAGGAAATATAGTGAATTGTTTATTTCCACAAGTATCCAAATGTTCACTCAGAGGGATTTGCCGATATTCCGGAGAGTTAATATGTTGTCGGTGGACACGCACCCGGGCACGCAATTGATTGCTCGTTTCCCCGATATAAAATTCTTGGCATCCAGCACACGTAATTACATATACTACATTTTTAGTGGCACAAGACATGTTTGCATTGACTGTGAATTGTCTTCCATTAAAGTCATAAGTTGATCCTTCCATTATATGTCTACACGTCCCGCAACGCGCGTCTTCACACTTAGTCACTTTGTAACTATTCTTAAAATGGGACGAACACAGAATTCTTCTAAGATTCTTGGGCTGTCTTCTGCTGTTAATAAATTTTACATCTCTATATATTTGTTGTGTTGACCGGTCCGTTTTCAAAACGTTGTTAAGTTGGTGTACTACGGAGGTCAAATTATGATTCCTTGGATTGTGGGTATGCACAAATGGAATTATATCCGTTTTATTTTCCTGGGTTTTTGTAGACAGTAATTCTGACCGTTCATATCCTTTGGCTTTCAATATCCCGTTATCTATCAGGTTTTGAGGATATCCCTGTTTTAAAAGGTATAACTTGAGTTCTTTCAGTCGGATATCTCTGGTGTTTTCGTCACTAACGATAGCACATAAACGTCTAGCCAGATTGTATGGAATTGCTGTTTTTGTGTGATGAGGGTGACAGGATCCAAAATGTAAATACTGTTGGGTGTCAGTTGATTTGTAGAAGATATCCGTTGAAAGTTTGGTATCTTCTTTGATGACAAGAACATCAAGGAATGGTAATTCCATACCGCTGCTTTCCATGGTAAATCTAATGTTGGAATCTAAGTCGTTTAATAATTGGTGGAAAATTGATAATTTCTCAATGTTGTCATTCCAAAGAATGAAACAGTCATCCAAAAATCGTTTCCACTTTGATGTTATAGCTTCAGCGTCCTCTTCTCCCCATAGAGTGACAAGTCGTTGATGGAGTTTTTGCTCGAGGTATCCCAATGTTAAGGTGGCATACGTGGGAGCCACTTTTGTTCCCATCGCTGTTCCTTTGGTTTGAATAAAATGCTCTACTCCGAAGGCAAATGTATTGTTTTGAAGTATAAGTCTTAATCCCTCTAAGATGAATTCTTGCTCAAAACGATCCTGTAGTAAGTCTGGGTATCTATCAATCCAGTATTTAACCGCTTTTATACCCAAGTCCACGGGTATATTTGTGTATAAATTCACGACGTCGAATGACACGAGTTTCGTATTAGGTTGAATATGTTCTGGTAGATGGTTGATAAAATCTATATCATCTCTTATAAAACTGGGAACCTTTTCACAATAAGGCTTTAATAAAATGTCTAACAAGTGACTCAGTCTTTGAGTTGAACAATTAGGCCCTCCTACGATTGGCCGAAAAGAGAGATCTTCAGGACTTAGACAGCAAATATACTCTCCTCTCTGAGCCTGTATGGCGTTTTTGATTTCTGATGACTTGTGTACTTTTGGTAATCCGTAAAATTGACTCTCTTTTGTTTCAAAGTTTATGAGATAGTCTTTCTCCTTAGCAGTTATATCTCCCGAGGATGGCCCACTGACAAGTTGTTTTATCTTTGCTAAAGTTTTTGTCTCGTGATTTGCATTAATACTCCCATAGTAGTTAGGGTCCTGTAGCATATTCAAAATCTTACGTTCGTAATATGTTTTATTCATGATGACTACTCCGCCTCCTTTGTCGGCTTCTTTGATAACGATACTTTCGTCATTATGTAAGTCATTTAAAGCTTTTTGCTCTTCTTTTGTAAGATTAGATCTAATATTCTTCTTAATATTAGGTAGGTTTATATTATCTAGGGTTTCACATACCGTATCTAGAGTTCGGTTTCTACCTCGTTTTGGAATAAAGTGGGATTTATTTCTAACCAGGTCCTCTGGTTCCTCATTTTCACTATCTTCTGTTGATTCGTCGTTATCTTCGTAAAAGTATTCCCTTAGTCGTAGTCGCCTTGTGTATTCCTTTATGTCCGTTTTAAGTTCTTGGTTATTCATGCGTGGGGTGGGTGTATATTTCAAGCCTCTAGATAATAACTTTATCTCTGCTTTAGTTAATATCCTATCTGAAAGATTAAACACTTTAGGATCAACTTCTATTGATTCCTTGGTTTTATTTGTTTCCTCAACATCAACTAAATTTGCGTTGTTTGATGATATAATTGTTGTATGTGCCTCTGTCCTTGGTTGGGCTTGCCGCCTCCTAAAAAATAGTGCCGCACACCACGTCCGATGAAAGTTGTTTTTTCATTTCTATAAATGTTTGAGGGTTTGTACCGTCTAATAATTCGTTGGTTTTTCGGATAGGAGTGGGGCGAATTTCGTTTCGCGTTATTAAACGTTGTCCATCGAGTGTAATGGCGTCGTAGACTTTGTTCTGGGGGCAATGCTTGATTTCCTTTCTGATTTCTCGTGGCATTGGGATTCGATCCAGTCCGCATGGTATCATTGCTCACAACAGATGCATAGGTAGCTCTTGTCGTATCATTCTTGTGATAAACATATCTTGTGGAAATAAACAATTCACTATATTTCCTTTTTACAAACTTTCAAGTGAAAGTGATATTCAGAGACGTGAGAAAGAAAAACATTTTATACATTTGTTCAAACCTAGACTGAACAATTGAGCATAATTGTTGTAAAAATTGTACTTATTATTTTCATTCTACAGTTTTCCCGCAAAGTTTGACTATGACGTCACAATAGACGTTTGTATGTAATGTTCCGCTTATTATGACGTTATGACGTTATGTTGCTATGTTACGTATTATAAAGCTTCTGAAGATTTGAAATGAAAGCGCTTAAGCTAAACTAAAGGTTTTCGTGTTTCTTTTTTAAAAAGATTTACCTGTAAACTACCGAGCACTGTGGATTTTTTTCTGTTTCATATATATATATATATATATATATATATATATATATATATATATATATATATACTTGGATCATTGGCATTAATACCTAGGAGCACAGAAAAAGATTTTCAAAGAATTAAATGTATTTTCACTATACCGGTATAATCAACAGAGCCCTGCTCTAACACTAGAACCCCTGACCCTGGGGCCATAAAATTCACAATTTTGAAAGAGGCACTCTTGCTCATCATAACTATGAGCTTAGTTAGATTATTTAATACTCAGGAGCAGAGAAGAAGATTTTCAAAGAATTAATGCATTTTCACTATATAATCTATATGGCCCTGCCCTAGCACCAGAACCTCTGACCCTGGGGCCATGAATTTCAAAATTTTGGTAGACGACTCAATGCTCATTACATTCATGCCAACAATTTGCCTGCTTGATGTCCAGGAGTAAAGAAGAAGATTTTTAAAGATTGCAATAATTTTAGTGGTTTTGGCCCCACCCCTCAGGCCCCAGGGAGGCGGGGACCATAAAATTCACAATTTTTGTTTCCCTTCACCCATAGATGCTGTATACCAAATTTGGTTGAAATTGGTTTAGTGGTTTCAGAGAAGAAGCTGAAAATGTTCAAATGTTACACAATATGCACGACACACGACGCACTACAACAGACGAAAACGGATAGCAATAGGTCATCTGAGTTACTCAGGTGACCTAATAAAATATGTAATTAAAAAATACTGAGTATTGTACATTTACAGTGTTATTTACACATAAAACTGTGTATCTATAAATTTCAACATGGATTTTTTCTTTGACTAAATGTCAAATATCAGTAAGTAACAATTCATACAATACAATGTACAAGATTATAATACATGTAATATCTGACAGACATAAAAAAAAATAACTCTGTAAAAAAATGCCGAAAATGTTTATCAATATTATAACACTGAACAGGGGATAATCAGTTTCTATCTGATTTAACCTGACTTTCATCATAGATTAAAGACCAAATATATCAATTTCAATGTAAGATTTATTTTTTTTCATAATTAAGTCACAAAATTGTCAAATAGAAAAAAAATACAAAGCTGAACCCATGTGTTCTGTTAAAGCAATATGAGCTGCAACTTTGATATCGAAAATTTTTGTTGAAAAAATGTAATAAACTATTTTAATAAAAAAAACATAAGAACATTTATTAACTTCTATTGTTCATATTTTCGATGGAAGACCTAAGTGCTTATATATAGAATGAAGCAAAATTACATTATTGTCGTCAAGTACAATATTGATTTCTTATAAAATCCTATACATTCCATTGCACAAAATCATTTTTGTGAAATACTTTAATACTTTCTTTTAGTCTAATTCATCATAAAGGTTTTAATTATACATAACAGCATATTTTAACAGAAAAATTAGATTCTCAAACATGCAGCTCATATTGCTTTAAATACATGTATATACCGGTCTGAAAATTAAATAGAATATACCTCAACAAATACATATTAACTCTGTAAAAATCTTTATACAATATACATTTGTTAACCATCAGAAACAAATCTCATCAGTGAACAAGCTTATATAAGCTCTCATAATACTGATACTTTTAAAACTTTTCAATAAACTTTTTAAAATATATAAAAAACACATAAACTCTCAGATTTGATATTATTAAGTCACAACTCGAATTTGAAAAGATAAGACTTTATCAATTGATACAAGAGGTTCATGTGCCTTAACAGTCACATGAGTATATAATACAACACTAAAAAGAGTGCATGGAATGGTAAATAATTAAGTAATAACACACAAATAATCTGAAGATAAAAAATAAGAGGTATAGGATAATCAGGGATCGACAAAATAGTTACTGTAGATCACCTAATTTTCGCCACACCTTATTTTCGCGAGATAGTCATTGACTCTTTATTAGCGAGACAAAATTTTCAGGAATTGTGGTCATTTCTCTATATAATCTTAAGGAATTCTATTATACGCAAGAATGAAATTTTCGCGAGCATACCTTCTCGCATAATTACGCGAAAATAAAGTTCTCGCGAATAAAAAGTGATTTACAGTAGTCTGATAACTAGTAGCAACTACATGTAAATAAGAGGATAACACGAAAATAGATACATGTAGATGGATTCATATAAAATCACAAAATTATGGCAGAAAATGTAATTTTGTACAAAGCCCAATAAAAAGCACCAACACCAACCAAATGCATAACATTCGAGTCCCAAATTAAAATAATGACATATAATAGTTAGTTTACAGTCTATGTTGGATAATCAATTCAAATAAGAGAAGATCTGAAAATAAGATGTGAGTATTACTTAACAATCATAAATTTTTCTTTTAAAAAGAAATATCTCTGTCAATATCATATTTTAATTTTACAAAATTCAAATCAGAAACTTTTGTTATCTGAGCTTATATTTTATATTCTGCAATAAGTTTTTTTTTTAACCTGACACTCAAAGAAAATAAAACTGCTCAAGAGTACAATTTTTAGCACTGGATATTTTAAAGCAGTTCATTTTAATAAAGTTTTTCTTACAGAATTTATTTAAATTAATATGTAGTTCTGTACCCAATTAAACTTTTTCATTTTCTATTATCCTGATACATGCACATTTAAAAGGGGGGTAACTCTCTTCAAAGAAGGGTAACTCTAAAATCATACAATTCATGAAAAAATCTTTAAAATTTAATCTGCAGTGATGAGTTGTCTCACGTTTCCTTGTGTGGTATTCTAAATATCACTAATATTTCCTTTTAATCTTCTGTTCGAACAATTAATGTATTACTAAAGCATAAATTCATTCTACATAAAAATCTCTAGGAAAAAAATGATTTTCTTTCGACTCCCCTAAATTTCCCTTAATATTCACTGTTGTTTGCTGGTTTGTCTATCTGTGTCAACTGAGTCTGAATGCCTGCTCCTTTGTCCCAGTACACAGATCTAAAAATAAGTTTCCCCCTTCTGTTGCAGCAGTAACGGTCAAACATTTTCCACTGGCAGGATTGTAAAGCAATGACGTTTCACCCTACAAGACATTAAAGTATGGTCATTGAAGTCATCAATTCTATCTTTTTTAACTTGACCAGCTTCAGTACGGTTCATTTATTTTTATTTACTGAAGGATCGAATACACGAGAAGAAAACATCAAAATACATTTTTAACAAAATTTTCCTGAGCTGTGGTTTCTGTTATATATAATTCTTTATCATACAAATATACACAAGAATAAAATTTTCACGACCAGACAGACTTGCATAATTATGCGAAAATTAAATTCTCGCAAATAAAAAGTGATAAAACCATTGAAATAAAATACACATTCATATAATAACTTCACTATAACTGTGTTTTACATGTACATGAACTTAAAAAAAAATTTTCAATGTTTTTTGCAAGAATTCTCTAGAAATAAGAGAACACAATTTATTGTACATGTATAAGAATGCATGCTTCTAAATTATAAAAGATGTTAATATGACTGGTCGTTTTGTGTTAAATCATCATAATTCAACTGTTCCCATATTTTGACATCTATCATAGGCATAGGAACTGGGGGCTAACCCCATCACACATCCCAACTTTTTTTGGCAAAGAGACACATAATATAGGCATTGAAATTTTGGGCTTGAAGTTTTTTTGTTGGTTCAACCCCTCCCCCCCTTTCAACTTTCAATTTGCATCAGACACCTAGCTATGTCTATTTTCTATCTACTATAACGTATACCTTGTCAGTCCACGTCCAGGCCTGTGAGCCCCCATTGCCATGACACTTCATTAGTCTAGCATAACTCTTCCCAACCATTCCTGACTCTACATCTAAACACAACAACTGAGCTAGGAGAAGTTGACTGTCCACAGTTTCGTACCACATCTGTGATTTCTGTCCATCTAAGGTCTTTGTATCACACGCAGCTAAAGTGAGCAATGCTTTCTTGGTATATGGCTTTTTCTCAGATTGAACACATAAACTGGAATCCACATGTGTCAGCTACAAAATGCAAGGAAAGTTAAAATTTTATATTCAATCAGTACATCAATTACACTTAATTGGCTTGTGAAAATAAATTATTAATTAAAGAGCCCTAATATTAACTTCACAAATGTAAAAACTACATGTAACATGAAATTTTGTGGTGGATATGAATCTACTTGTTCTATAAATGATTTACCTGCCCATGTCTGATAATGACCGGTTCCTTCCTCAGTTGGTTTCTGGGAAAATGATGATATATTTCAACATTATTGGTCTGTCCAGGCACCACCTACAAAATCCCAATTTTGATACTGAACTTCAACTGTGTTTTGGAAATTGATATTTTATGTACCTGTTCAGGTAGGATATTATTAGTTACACAGTCAGTTAGTGACCTAATACGGATTCATACAGGGTGTGAAATGGACATCCGTATTGGGCGAGGCAAAGCCGAGTCCCAATACGGATTTCCATTTCACACCCTGTATGAATCCGTATTAGGTCACTAACTGACTGTGTTACGAATTTATCCCGCTGAAGACCTTTATCGATATAAAAAAATATTTGTGCATATTATGAAAATATTAAGTTTTAATCCAATAACAATCAACATAAAATATCGTTACAGTAACAAGAAATTTAACTACACGTGAACTACCTACGTAAACCGTTTCTTAGCCGCCATTTTTATTTACAATAACAACGCTTCGAACGGAATCGCGTGCCCGATTTTCATATTACTCCTCGACGGAGACGTAATACGGAAAATTTCAGGGCGTCATGTGATCAGCCTTTATCCAATCAGCAATCTACAAGTTTGTCTGAAGCGGGATAAATATTTTTATTTGACATACCTGTTCAGGATATATATTTTTGAGGTACCACTGGAATGATTTACATGAGAGGTGTTTTCGGAGGGAAACCCTGTCTGATATGTCTCCGTAGTCTAAATGCCCTGCCTGAGGCCTCTGCTTTAGGAAATACTCCTGAAAAAAAGAAAACATTCATGTGTAGTACATGTACCAAGTACATATTAAATTTTTTTTTCAAATATGAGCCATCCTCCCTTTTCTTTAATTCATGAGTTCTATCTAGTGAACTCACCTTGTACTCGTCCATCCACACATGAGCTACCCTGAGTGAGTTTCTGATGAGTGTGTCCCCACCAGCAGGATTTCCGTACGGCCGACGCTTCCTAAAGATATGTCCTACCCTGGAACACGGAATGATCTCTAGTCTACCCCCACACATCCATATCTGTAAGAAAAAGGCAGGACTAGTCAGCAACGATTCTATCATATTTGTAACATGAGGACTGTTTCTCCATTGAGAGCTTACAACATCCATATCATTGCCTTAAATAAACATCTTTTTCTGATAAATGTAGGTCAGGTAATACAGCATTACTCAGGTGATCTATCAAACACAGTTTACAAAAGTACAACAACAACAAAAATTAAAAGGAAGGCATAGACATATTATGTACACTGATATCTGCTTCAATATCCTTTACATTACACACTGATAATTGCTTACCAAGTACATTGTTAACTGCTTAAATTGTACAGAGTACACTGATATCTGCTTACCCTGAACCCAGATATCAGCCTACAATACACACTGATACCTGCTTACATTGTATATTTATCACTGATATCTACTTATCCTGCACCCTTACATCTGCTTACTGGCCTCGCCAGGTATGAAATTTACTAACTAGGTATCATCCCATACCCTGTCACTAAAAGACTATGTAACTAATAGTACACAGATATCTGCTTGTCCTTTACCCTAATATCTGCTTACCCTGTAGACTGATATCTGCTTACCCTGAACACTAATATCCGCTTACCCCATTACCGATATCTGCTTATCCTGTTCATTGATATCTGCTTACCCTAAATGAGATCTCGAGATTCTCCCCTCCCCAGATATCCATACCCAGATCATACTCTCCCAGGTGGTGGAAGTAGTCTTTCCTCATGGCAAACAACCCCCCAGCCATTGTGGGCGACCTGATAACAAAGATTTGGTTAGAGTTCTTTTTCTCTCTGTTTATTCAAATAAAAGTCTGCATTTACTGATTTTCTAAAAGAAATCTAAAATAAAATTGAAATTTTATTTCAGCACACCAAAATGTTACAAAATCAGAAAGTTTTGAAATAATTTCTGGCAACTTACTTTGATGAATCTATAAAGGCTTTTATCCTTAGGCTAGTAAAAAATTGTCTCTGCTCAATGAATCTTAATCACATATACTAATAGATTACCAAAAAATCAAAATATGAAAAACTGACTACTATCTCTAAAGAACAAAAATGCAAAATATTCAAGCCCCAGAATTTATTCACAGACTCAAAAACTTAAACGAATTCCATACATTGCATACCCTGCATTTTACATATAAAATATCACTTAAAGTTATACTGGACACAACTCACGGTATAGGTTTCAACCCAAGCTCAGGGTCACTTTGCATACTAGCTGGAAGCTGATCCCAGCGGAAGTGCAGGCCCCAGTTAAACCCTCCCCTGACAAGGGGAGACGATTGGTACTCCATTGTATCATGGTTGATCATGTCTATTACCGGGACAACCACAGTGCTTGGGTCATGTGATATCCTTAGCAACAGAGGCTCTAACCAATCAGTGTTCACTTCACAATGGCTGTCTAGAAAGACCAAAACCTAAAAGAGGCAAGAAAATTGTGTGTTTTTTTATTTCAAGATTTTTTTCTGAAGTAAGACTTATTATTTATTACATATACTTGTATCTTTCAAATTAAATTTTTCCAAACAAATTTCTTATTAAATATCATCAGTTAAACATAATACATATTGTATATCAAGTGTCTCTGAAATTTAAAATAAAAACAGGTTACAGATTACTTGATTTGTTTATTAAGATAAATTTTACTCAAGAGCAGGTAACTGTTACCTTTCCTGAAGCATGGTTTGCACCAAACACCCTGGCTCTGATTAACCCCTGCCTCTCTGGGGTGCGGACAAATTTCACATTTTTTAAATGCTGATTGACATATGTTTCTATCTGGCAAGAAATGTCATCTGTGCAGAATAAATAAAAACATGTTAAAAGCAACTTAGAAAATTGTACAATTGCGATGATATTCTGGTAAATGTACAGATTTAAACTATCAATAACTATAAATGATATCTATGACAAAATTCAAATGGAGAATAGTTTAAGTTTTGGAGCTGCATTATGTATTTATTTCATAAGCAGACAGGATTTAAATTTTTACAAGTACAATATGTGCAGCGAGTATGGGTAAAAAGTCACTGGTGACAATGTATACTAGCTGTCACAAAATTTATTACAGTGAAATCTATGCACTGGGGGACAAATTCCGTGTCGGAATAGACAGGGTGTCAGATTAGAGTGTGTACAGAAACAGGGAAAATAGCTGGTAGTAAAATTTGAAAAAAAATTTAACGTGGGAACTCACAGTGTGTCAGAGTGCACAGTTGTCAAATCAAACTGTTACAGTTTTCCAGTCTATCTCAAAAGCACCGGTCCGTCGGACAAAACAGGTTAAAGTCTTATTGGTCCAATGCACTAACTAGTAAATTCGGTTCCATTTGTCCGAGGTTTGTTTTGGTTGGGTTTTAAATCATATATTTTCTATTTCATCAAATAGACACTTTAACTAATACCAAAACACATTATTAAAAACGTTTTGTTGATTGTGATTGTTGTTAAACCTACTTCTGCAACAATGTCTCTGAAATATTTCCATGGGACAGTATCAGGGAAGAAAAAGAAACATTTCAATTAATCTTTTAATGTGTTATCTATTTATTGATTCAATGCTATGAAGTAACATCGTTATTATCATTATATGATAAATGTTTTGAAAATTTGTTTGGTCCTGTGAAATTGTGTTAATTGTCTGTCCGAATGTCCTGTGGCAATTTTTCTTTTTCGTGAAGACTGGTTTTTCACTGTATTTTGAAAAAGATTCCTACTGCTAAAATTTATAAAAATTCAAATTTCCTCTGCTTTTCATACCTAAAGTACTACTATCATCTACTAGGATAATTTCTTTGAGCAGCTCTGGGGGAGTCTGGTCAATAACTGAGTGTACAGTACGAAGTAAAGCCGATGGCTGTTCATTGAAAAAGCAGATCACAATACTGGCATCTAAGTCAATGGAAGGAAACTTCACATCTCGACATCTGTTAGGAATAAACCATAAAATTATTGTAAGCATTGTAAAATATTTATCATATGTAATTGAACAAGTAAAATTTTGGATTTTTTTGTTTTACTAATTAGCACAATGATAGAACTATTAGCCTAAGTTATTGAAAATTGTAAAACGTAGGCAAGAATATTTCACATGAACCAAAGTGAAAGGTTGAGAAACCTAGAAGGTAGACTTACTTTGGAAATCTAGTATCCGGGACTGCTCTGTGAAATCCTATTTTGTCACTTATTAATGCATTGAAAGCAAACTTCTGGTAACCTAAATAACAAAAAAGCTTGATCTGAAATTAATTCATAAATATAATACAAATTTACAAGTACCTGTCCTTCAAATACCGTATCATAAATTTCTTATAATGTGTTAAAATGAATGCTGATACAAATTACAGTGCAAGCTATCAAGTAATCAAAATCCATTGACAATAAAATGGTTAAAATCATTTTTCCATCTTTATCTTTAAAAACAATTAGACATGTACATGCATATAACATTCAACATATACCCATCATGCTAAAGCTAACTATCATAATTATACAGTACAAACTGAAAAACTCTCAAATTTATTTATGATGGTGTGCCTGCATATAAATGATATGATTGACAAATAAGGGCATCACAATCTCTAACCTTCATCTCGAAGTTTCTGATCCTCTGGGCTTAATACGACACCCAGTGAATGCAGGACAGTCACATTGTACCGTTTCACCAGAGCTTTATTGAAGACTTCTGACAGTGCCTCGCATTGCTGTTCAAACTTAGGGGATTCCCCTCCATTTTCTTTTTTTAGACTATCCTTCCTGACAAGCAGGGTTTTCTTTGCCCTTAATTTTAACCTATTGGGCTGATTCCAGTCAGCAGTAAGCTTTAAGTGCCAGCTGAAAAGGTTAAAGGTCAACCAGACAGTTAGGGGAATCCCAAACCAAATCAAACAGCATTTTAGGCTTAATCTTTTTCTCATCTCTTGGTGGTCTTATACCATCTCCTCCCAGTACTTTTGGTCCTTTGATATACCCAGCTGCAAAATAGCACAGATATTCTTTATGCTTACATACCTATTGTTGAAAGATGGTAAAGTCTAAATCAGGTCCAGGAAAATCACTATATTTAGCTATATAGCAAAATCTACCTATATAGCTTTATTTACCTATATAATATAGCTTTATTTAGCTATTTCAGAGTAAATTTCTGTTTTATAAAAAGCAGACAAAAAGTCGCATAATGAAGCAGTATTAGTTATCAACTTTGAAATGGACTGAAAACAATTCACCAAAAACCCACTTTTAAAGATGTTTCTCCTTTTGTGCAATTGCAATCAAAGATCTAGAAGTTTTGGGGCTATGTATAGCAGTTAATCTGTGATTAAGGAGCAACTTTAACAAAGAAAAGCAGTTTTGGTCAACAAGATGATAGGTAATAATTCAGCACAAAGCAAGGCAATCACACTTAGTCATGCCTCATCGCACTTCCAGTGAGGGACAGCTATCCAAACAATAGAGATGCCTTTTTTGGTTAAAAGTGTTTAAAAGAGGCAATGTTTTTACTATCTATGGTTTACTACCCTAGGTTGTTTTTATCAAATCTTTTAAAAAATATCACCCATAATTTTCATGCGACTTTTTGGCTGCTTTTTATAAAACAGAAACTCATTCTAAAATAGCTAAATAAAGCTACATTATATAGGTAAATAAACCTATATAGGTAAATTAAGCTATATAGCTAAACATGCTAAATATAGTGATTTTCCTGTATTGCATATTGTTAAAATGTGTGTTTTTCTAGGGGAAAAATTAATAATACCATATAGCTGCAGAACTGTAGCTCTCTGCTTGAGAAAATTCGGACAGATAAAGCACAGAATTTTCTCAAGCAGAGAGCTAACGTTACAGTTCTGCAGCTAAATACCATACGGACTCAGTTTTGAACAGTTTTACGATACAAAATCTTTTAACAGAACTGACGTCACGGGTAAACTTCTACAGAGATGCAACAATGTTGTCCTTTCATTTTTCAAATCATTTGTCAACACCTTATTTTAAGATCTCAGTCTTTCAGTTTTCAAGTTTTTTTTCCTAAGGTAAAATCAAAATCAGAATATAACAACGTCAAATAATTACTTGAAATATCAATATAAGAGGCACCTTTTCCAAACGTTGAAAAGATGTAGAATTGCACGTAGGCGGTTTCCACTTGAATCGTTATCACTTTAAAAATTGTGATATACGTAAACGTCCCATGATTTCTCTTGCATTTCGTGTGTACTTCTTCTTGATTTCAGGTTTTTTTTAAGGTAAATAGTAGCTAATAGATTAAATTTAATTATTTATCTAACAGATTGGTTTTATCTACAAAATAAGTTGGGGAGCGCCATCGGGTATACTGGAAAAGGGCACTAGCTCACGTTATATTATGTAGCTGATCGGGAAATTTAAGGAGGCACATATTACTATTTACTATTGAAAACATGACTTAAGTTTCTTTAAAACAGTATCGACCAAAAATAGGGTTTGAATTCAGTAGTTAGGTCCTTCGTACATTTTTTTTTTTTTTTTTGCCAACTTCTGTGGAATTTATTTACATGCTTTACCATGTTTACCCTTGTTTAAAAGTTATGTAAATTGCTCCATACTTTTTTCACAGATTTCTAAAATATTTTCCTGCAGGTCACAATGTGTTTAAAAAAATTCATGCATGTACATGTATCACTCGAATTGCGTATTGATTTGACTCTCCTTAATAGATTTTCTGTTAAACTTAACATACTAAGCATCGGAACCGTGTTGGGGGGGGGGGGGGGCTTTTCAAAAATGGACATTATATATACATGATATAGGCAATGAAAATTGGGGTTTACCTTTTTTTGTTAGTTTAGCCCCCCCCCCCTCGTTTATCACCCTGTCAGAGAAACTACATGTACTTGCACACTACTTTAATGATGTTTACATGTATAATTCGTAAACTGGATAGTCAGCATCCTTTTGGTCTCTTAGAAGACTTTAATGAAAAGCTTTAATCCCCACGATAAATTAAAGTCTAATCTTTTTAGATATGAGTGACAGCTGCTTTTTCAATAAAAATAGAATCCTTAAATTTACTTACTACATGTATGTCATTTGTCATTTGCAAAACTATTTTTTTCCCTAAATTCTATAAGTACTCTGGAGTTGATTTTAAAAAAAGATGCTTGAGTTAACGTTCCTGATTTTCTATATGGTTTTTTGGAGACCAGGCCCCAGGATCATGAAACAGACTTAGACTTTTAAAAGTCAAATTTTTGAGCGCCAGTAAAATGTTTAAGAATTATTTAATGAATCTCTAAATTTGAGATAACAATACTTTCAGGCACGTAGCATCGTTTTTGAAAGTGGGGAGGGGGCAGCCAGAGAAAAAAAAAAACATTACTTACCTGTAAAAGTTGACAAGCAAAAAAAAGGGGGGGGGGGAATGCCGAAACTCGAAAATCCTATTTCGGGGGGTGGGGGTGGGGTGGGTGGTACTGGCCAATTTTTTTAAGGCCAACTTCCTTTCACTTCAATTTTTTTTTTGCATACAATATTACATTTCCTTGATATCACTTTACTGTGGTAAGAAGTGGGGGGAGGGGCAACCAACTTTTCAATGGACATTTTCTATAGTAAATGTAATGTTGGGGAAAAAGTGGGGGGGGGGGGCAGGCCCCCCTGCCCCCCCCCCCCTCCTTGCTACGTGCCTGACTTTTGTTCAACAATATTGACAAATATTTTAATTTTTGTCTGCTTGACTTAATCAATTGCAAATTTTTAGTAGGACATGAATATTCTGACTTCAGCTTACAATGTTTCATGACCCTGGGGCCAGGTCTTCCAACAATCTATTGAAATTCCCATAGGTACCAATTGCGCCCCGTAATTAGCAGACCTATTTTTGTATAAGATCAAAAGACATTGCTGACAACCTGACAACTAAACGAATTTAACAGTTTTCCTTACGCATAAGGCAGCTACTAAGTAACAGTCATTGATTAAATTTTGATTGACGTCTTTAAATCGCCATAAGCCATTGATTTAGTACTGATTTGTCCATGGATTGCTCATTTTTTGTAAAGACAAATAAAGGTGATGTCGGTTTTACCAGCCTGTGTTTCCTTCTATATGGCATCCGATCCCACCCTTTGTGTTTTCAAGGGGTCAGTGTTTCCCTTCCTCTCAATTACTAATGTGTTATAGGGCTTTGAGCTTAATCACTGTTCTTTGTTTTTACATTTCAATCAGCCGACTTAGTCAGCAATAACTTAAGATAATTGAAAAGGTGAAGATATCGAACAGTAACTATAATCTTAATGAATCCAGTAAACAAAACGAGTCGTGAACAGAGCAAAACCACGATCCTTGAAAACAAAAGATTTGGGATCAGGTGCCCGAGTTGAGTAAGCATCTCCTGATGACCGGTCACAACTTTCGTGAGCCCTATGTATTGATTAGCTAAACTGAGTAATCTGTAGTCAAATTTAGTATAAAAGCAATGACCTATCATTTCCTATCAATTGATATGAAACATCAATTAACCTCGATCTCACCAGAGGGCGCATTACCCTTCGCTACAATACCGGAACAATAACTCTGGGTAGAGACTGATGAAACATGTCAGGCAAAATATATACCAGCCAACGATAGGTTATATTTACAAAAAACATCATCATAACGACCTTAGACTTACGAAAACTTTTTATTCATATAGTTTATTTCCTATTATAATTTTAACTTTCTAAAGAGGTTTGAAAATTGGTTGGTCAATCCTCCACAAAAAACAAAGCTTTTCAATCCGTCTTTTTTTATTATATAAAATATGTACTTATAAATAGTGACAATTTTAAATTGAATTGTAATTAAAATTTTCGAATACGTTTAAGAATTATTTAATTGTCTTTTGTCAAATTTTGTTTGAAAAATAAAACACAACAACTACAATGTATATATGGGTATTTCATATATTTTTTAAGTAAAACAACAATATGCTTAACATGCATAAGTTATGATAAGAACTATATAAAGACTTTCTGAAAATGTCGTCGTATTCACCGGGAATTGCTATTTTGGTTGAATTTTAAAGGACAAGGTATGGTAATAGCCAATTCTGGCCCCTTATTTGATGTAAAAATCATAACACTGTTAAAATTGTACAACTTTGTAGTAAAGAACTTAAGATGATGCTTATTCTAAATCCAGGAAATTTTTTTATTCAAAGCCTACATGCATGGGAGCCACAACAGGCTGTAGAAATAGGACATTTTCCCAAATTTTCTCAATTCTGGTGGAATTTCGTCATATTTGAGATACTTTTCTCTTCAGAAAACATAGAGAAGTTTGCTATCTGAGATTTTAACACATGTACATAAGATGCATTTGATACTATAACTAATGTATGAAATATATAAATTTGGTAGATAGGCAAGCTTGTGCTCTATGTTTTCTGAAACAAAATGTGCTGTAAAATCTATGAAAATTTGCATAAAATTGAGAAAATTCGGAAATTGACGTATTTTCTGTTCTTCCTGTGACCTCTGTGTATCCCATAACTTAGAACCAATACTCATTTTGTGGTAGGGGTAACAACAGGTTTTTAATTATAAACTGTTGCATCATTCTAAAAGACATCTCAAATCAGGGACCAAAAATGAGTCTTAGTCCACAGGCGCTTCACGTTTTTAAAGGAATTTTGAACTTTTTTTTAATACATGCATGCATGCACGGATTTTGAGTATTTTTCCGAAAACAATATTTAGTGTTACAAATTACTTTACATAATACATCCATTTATATAAATACAAAAGTTTTAGAAATTAACGTTTTCAAATGGAAGCAAGTCCAAGAAGAACGGCAGTTGATATGAAACTAATCAATAAAAATAACCAAAACATGTAAAAATCGACTGCTGACGTCACATCCGTCCATAGAATGACAGTCCCCTTGTTTTTCATCGTTGGTTTTTCATCTTCTTTCTCCCCTTCAACTTCATTAACACTAACAACGTCCAACTTTGTGACCATGGTTGTGTTCTGAACTTCGGAATTCTGCGAAGGTTTACCTTGCATTTTCCAGGATAGAATCGTCAATTTCTGTACCCATGGGGGTATTCTTTTTTCTTCGGTCCAAAAATGAATTCTTATTGTTAAAATTGTGATGATTAGTATTAATGTTCCCAATACCACATCTAGAATGATGTATATTTCTACATATGACGTCGATGATGACGTAGGAGGCAAAAGACTGGCCACAATGGTCATGAAGATTGACATGGATAACATGACTGTGACCGAGTATCCCATTTTCTCCCCACTGTCTACTGGAAGAGCGAATGTAAACACGTCAAGAATGAGGAGAAACATCATAGGAATTATAATATTGATGACGTATGTTTTTGGTTTCCTCTCTAGCGTCATTTTGAAGCTAATCTTTGATTCGTCATCTTCTATTATGACTTCAGTGGTTGGATTGGACAATGTCCACAGACCATTAAATAAATCGTCATCGAGTTGCATACCGTTTGTTCCTTGGGTTATATTTATTGAATTTATATCACCATTCCATGCAATAAAAACTATCGAACACTCTTGCCGGTCAAACGGAAATGATCTAATTTCTATTAAACATTTGGTGGTAAATACTTTATAAGGCGTCCATATTACATCACCAGTACTAAACACGCGCACATTCATAAAACTCCCGCCCAGTTCTGCGAAGTCTGTAAGACCATTCTGAATTTGGATATCTGGTTTCCAAACAAGGCCCTGGGGCACGTCTATATATGTCGCTCCCCCATAAGATGAGGGCGTCCACGTCAGAAATTCGTCCCTCCATTTCATAGTGATAACTCCCATGGACGTCATTTGCTGTTGAGCTTCATTAAGGCCCTCTAGTCCGGTCATCAGAAGATCTAACGACACCTGGGTAGGCGCGCCTTGGTTCGTCGCCGGACGGATGTCCTTGTTGTATCCTATCGTTGTAAATAGGTAGGTATACAGGTCTTTAAGATTAGTCCCTGTTTGTCCGGATACCAATCCTATAACTGCTGAAAAAATCCACAACAGATATAATTTTCGTGATCCCATTGTCTCTCTCTCTCTTTATTTTGTTTTTGTCACAGCACGGACTATTCATTGAAACTTTCCGATCATTAACATTTGGGTCAGTTAAACGAAATTATTGATTGACGTTTTAAATGAAATGTACAAGCGTAAACCTGACGTGTTTTTAATTCGGATTAACTATAATCAACACTCCATTAATGCAGATGACCTTAACATTGTTAGATTAAGATTAATAAGGATTAAAATTAAACCCCAGTGTACTTAGAAATCAAAGCAAATTATCAACATTTAAAATAATTACATGGTTCACAAATTCTTTTCTTTTTTTTTTAAAAAATCTAGTTGATTAGTCGATTTGAAAAAAGGAGTTTTTACTTTACAACATCAGTTGATTTTTCATAAAGAGAACGACTCAGTACTGAAACTTTATCAGTTTCAACAAAACTGATAGCTGTATACGCCGATTTGATTGATACTAGCTGCAGAACTGTTGCTCTCTGGTTGAGAAAATGTGGACATACATGTACAAGATCCTTAAAATGCTTATTTTGAAATGTCAAAAATTAAATCATGTTATGTAATTAAATTATGTCGTCGACAGTTATTGTTAAGCAAAATGCAGTATTTCATTTTGATTCATATTTTTAACTCAAATTATCCCAAAGAACTCAAAAAAAAGGAGGCCCATGGGCAACATCGCTCACCTGAGTAGCTTTGACCATGCTATTCTTTACCAGATTTCCCCCTAGTAATACATATTGTGACCCCACCCTAACCCACGGGTCATGATTTGGACAATTTAAAATCTACACTACACTAGGATGCTTTCGCATAAGTTTCAGCTTTTCTGACCCAGTGGTTCTTGAGAAGAAGATTTTAAAAGATTTTTCTCATTTATTTCTATGTAAAACTTTGATTCCTTATTGTGGCCCCGCCCTACCCCTGGGTCATGAATTGAACTATTTAAAATCTACACTACCCCGGGATGCTTCCACATAAGTTTCAGCTTTTCTGGCCAAGTGGTTCTTAAGAAGAAGATTTTTAAAAGATTTTTCCTATTTATTTCTATGTAAAACTTTGATTTCCTACTGTGGCCCCGCCCTTCCCCCCGGGGGTCATGATTTTTAGCTCTACTGGTCAGAGACCAGAAGAGCTTATGCAATAGTAATGCGTCCGTCGTCCGTCCGTCCGTCTGTCTGTCTGTCTGTCCGTCTGTAAACAATTTTTCAAAATGCTACTCCTCCTACAGTTTTGGTCTGATTTCAGTATAACTTTGCACACAAGTAGACTACACTAAGATACATAATTCTGTTTATCGGTTTTTGATTTCGATGAACGATGTTGCCGTTGTTACTAAAAATAGAAATTTTTGTGAAAATCATTCAAAATGCTACTCCTCCTACAGCTTTGGTCTGCTTTCAATATAACTTGGCACACAAGTAGACTACACTAAGATACATAATTCTGTATATCGGTTTTTGATTTCGATGAACGGTGTTGCCGTTGTTACTAAAAATAGAAATTTTTGTGAAAATCATTCAAAATGCTACTCCTCCTACAGTTTTGATCTGATTTCAATATAACTTGGCACACAAGTAGACTACAATAAGATACATAATTCTGTGTATCACTTTTTGATTTCGATGAACGGTGTTGCCGTTGTTACTAAAAATAGAAATTTTTGTGAAAACCATTCAAAATGCTACTCCTCCTACAGTTTTGATCTGATTTCAATATAACTTGGCACACAGATAGACTACACTAAGATACATAATTCTGTGTATCAGTTTTTGATTTCGATGAACGGTGTTGTCGTTGTTACTAAAAATAGAAAAATTTGTGAAAATCATTCAAAATGCTACTCCTCCTACAGTTTTGGTCTGATTTCAATATAACTTGGCACACAAGTAGATTACACATAGATACATAATTCTGTATAGCAGTTTTTGATTTCGATGAACGGTATTGCCGTTGTTACTAAAAATAGAATTCTGTAAAAAACTTTCAAAATGCTACTCCTCCGACAGTTTTGGTCTGATTTTATTATAACTTGGCACACAAGTAGACTACACTAAGATACATAATTCTGTTTATTGGTTTTTGATTTCAAAGTACGGTGTTGCCGTTGTTACTAAAAATTGAAATTTCTGTGAAAAACATTCAAAATGCTACTCCTCCTACATTTTTGGTCTGATTTCAATATAACTTGGCACACAAGTAGACTACACTAAGATACATAATTCTGTATATAGGTTTTTGTTTCAATGAACGGTGTTGCTGTTGTTACTTAAAAAAGAAATTTCTTTGAAATACATTTAAAATGCTACTCCTCCTTCAGTTTTGGTCTGATTTCAATATAACTTGGCACACAAGTAGACTACAGCAAGATACATAATTCTGTGTATCAGTTTTTGTCATTATTTTATTTATTGCTTTTGTAAAGTTTTATATCCCAACTGTTACTTTTCTCTTTCTTTATTATAAGTACAAACCAGTAGAGCTTCAGTCTCGACAGAGACTTCTGGTTACAATTTAGAATCTACACTACCCCAGCATGCTTCCACGTAAGTTTAAGCTTTTCTGGCCCAGTAGTTCTTGAGAAGAAGATTGTTCCTATATATTTCTATGTAAAACTTTGATTCCCTATTGTGGCCCCGCCCTACCCCCTGGGGGTCAGGATTTTTACAATTTAGAATCTACATTACCCCAGCCTGCTTCCACGTAAGTTTCAGCTTTTCAGGCTCAGTGGTTCTTGAGGAGAAGATTTTTTAATGACCCCACCATATTTTGTCTTTTCTTGATTATCTCCCCTTGTGAAGGGACTTGGTCCTTCATTTTAATAATTTAAACTCCCCTTTACCCAAGGATGCTTTGTACTAAGTTTGGTTAAAATTGGCCCAGTGGTTCTTGAGAAGAAGTCGAAAATGTGAAAAGTTTACAGACGGACGGACAGCTAGACAGACGGACGACGGACAAAATGTGATCAGAAAAGCTCACTTGAGCCTTCGGCTCAGGTGAGCTAAAAACGCCCAAAGAGTCTGATACTTTGTGTTGTGTAAAGATAATTTACTGACAATAGACGTTAATGCTAACAATCCAAAACAAACAAGTAAAATTGATGCAAAGTGGGATGAATAAATATGTTTAAAATTTGAATAGAAATTTTAGTGCGGCATTTGCTCATTCAATGGATTTATCGATGTAAAAATTAAAGTCAATGATTAGTATGAGAAATTATTGTCATCAAAATGACAAAGGTCTCTCAAGATGAACCACGTGCTGATACCCCTTTTTGTCACGAGATAATGCCTATATGGTTTCTGTCGAGTAGGCTATGCTGCATGGCGCAGTGCAAAATGTATAAAGAACTAGAGCCGAGCTCGTTGCAAAGCAACGAGTAGGTCTTACGTCGGAGCTGCGGACAGGGAGAAATGATCTTGAGTCAAAGTCATGCCACATTCTAATGTTAAAGCAATCTTTAAGGGTAGATATCATCTTAAAATGTTTTACTATTAAAAAGGATAGTAAAGGAATGTTTGTGACCTTGACCTTGTCAAAATGACCTTTGCGTCACACCATGACACACACTGGTGATGAGCATATCCCATTTGTGTGGTACCGTATTGACAATTAAATTCACACATGTTCTTTCAAACAATGCATCCAGCCAAACTATCTTACCCTTATTGACCTTGATTCAAGGTCACGACACACTCGGCATGATTTAAGCAATATCTTTTTTCGATAGGCCTTGTCACAGCAGCTAATATACATGTGTAAAACCAGGTATGAAAGCGCTACCCTTTCTCAAAAGTTATGGTGAATTTTAAGCAATGTTAAAATTTTGGAAAAGCAGGTTAAACTTCAAGGTCAAAGTTCATTATATACTTGTTTTTGAAAAGATTTTATCACAGGTAACGTACATGAGATTTTTGTGTTATATGAAAGTCCTATCTCTTCTCATTCAAAAGTTATAACCAAGGTTAAAATTGTGAAAAGTAAGTCAAGCCTCAAGGTCAAGGAGTCAAAAGTCAGTGTATTTAGAAAAGTGTTGTCTCTGGTAATACACAGGGGTAAAATAAAAGCCCTATCTCTTCTCATTCAAAAGGTGTGACTATAATTGTTAATGTTTTTGAAAAGCAGGTCATACTTCAAGGTCAAGGGGCCAAAAATAATAGAGAATTTTGACCTTGTCACAGGTAAAACACATTTATAAAATGGAAGCTTTAAAAGTTATGGTCAATTTAAATTAATGTTATTTTTTAAGTAGGTCAAGCTTCAAGATCAAGGTCACAGGTCAAAAAATCACAATATATTTAAAAATCTCATGTCACAAATAATGCACATGTGAAATATGAAAGTCGTATATTTCAACTCATTCAAAAGTTATTATAAAGTTTAAAGTTCTTGTGACAGATGGACAGACTGGCTGACGAATAAGGTTTAATGTACTCTAAAAACTAAATACATGTAATTTGAATAAATTGAGAAATACGAATAATAAAAAAGAAGAAAATATTAGAATATGAATGAAGTTTCCTTCATGAGATTTCTATAAAGACTTATAAAATTAATACATATTATTCAAGTACATGCATTATATGTACGTTGGGGATTCAAGACGCAGAGACCGGTCCTTTCGATGAGAGCATATATATGGCACGCCAAATTCACAAAAATGAGATAAACCTAGTTTCACATTTGATAAACTAGGTTTATCGACTGTAAACTATAGTTTACAAACCGTAAACTATAGTTAACGATTCGTTAAGTATAGTTTTCATCTGTAAAACTATATTTAACGGTTGTTAAGTATAGTTTACGAATGATAATCTAAGTTTATCTGTCTGTAATAAGCGTTAACAATAGTTTTTGTTGATGAACATACCGTATATCAGGATTTTTCCGCGTGTTTCCAATTTCCGCTTTGTTCGCGACGAGTTCTGAATCGCGGAAAATAAAACAGCGTAAATTTAATACAAAGTTTACTTCTTGTAGTAGAATTATTTCGTAATGCTTATATCGCAGAGGGTAGAAATAACGGGATTAGAGGACAAGCGCAAGATACCGGTAATAGATACAAGCCCTTATTGTTTGTTTACCAATTGACAATTAAGCTAGCTAATTATATGGGTCACTTTCATTGCGAGAAGCTATTAAACTAATTATGCCTGAGCTTCTAGTCAGTTTGGAACAGTAAATGACCTAGGATTGTTTAAATCTTAAAAATTAATATCTGTGGATTTGAAAATTCGTACGCAACACAGGTGTGTAATCAGCTGAGCGGGTCTTCTGAAATTGACGAGGTGAAGGTCGGTCGATCTATTTCTCACCCGTATGAAGTAACTCAAGCTTAATGACTTTACATTTTACATCCCATTCCTTCATAGGCTTAAACAATTGTTAATAATATAATCACTGGGACTTTGAAATAATGAAAATTTGATTCGCGTAAACTTAATACACTGATTTAGGTACTGATTCGCGGAAAAACATGACGCGGAAAAAACCTGATATACGGTAGATTCACGTTTGTAAACTTAGTTTTTTATATTAAGAGAATTTTTTTGAAACTATATTTATTCGTTAACTATAGTTAACGGTTTGTAAACTATAGTTTACAAATCGTGAAACTGTATTTATCAGATAATCTAATATGTTTTGCAATCGCAAATGTATGGCACGCCAAATTCACAAAAATGAGATAATCATAGTTTCACAATCGATAAACTAGGTTTATCGGTTGTAACCTATAGTTTACAAACCGTAAACTATAGTTAACAATGTTAATCTATATTTCACATCTGTAAACCATAGTTAACGCGATAATCTATGTTTCACAACCGTAAACTATACTTAACACCGAAAACAATCATTTGCGATTGCAAAACATAGATTATCTGATAAATACAGATTCACGATTTGTAAACTATAGTTTACAAACCGTTAACTATAGTTAACGATCTGATGAATATTTTTACGATTTGTGAAACTATGATTAACAAAAACTATATTTATTGTAAAAGTTAAAAACGTGAATCTATGTTTATCAACAAAATCTATTGTTAACGCTAATTACAGACAGATAAACTTATTAAACGTAAACTATAGTTAACAAACGTTAAATACAGTTTTACAGATGAAAACTATACTTGACGAATCGTTAACTATAGTTTACGGTTTGTAAACTATAGTTTACAGTCGATAAACCTAGTTTATCAAATGTGAAACTAGGTTTATCTCATTTTTGTGAATTTGGCGTGCCATACAAATGATTGTTTTCAGTGTTAAGTATAGTTTACGGTTGTGAAACATAGATTATCGCGTTAACTATGGTTTACAGATGTAAAATATAGATTAACGTTGTTAACTATAGTTTACAGTCCGTAAACTATAGTTTACAACCGATAAACCTAGTTTATCGACTGTGAAACTATGTTTAGCTCATTTTTGTGAATTTGGCGTGCCATACATATATACACAACTGTCTCGTTACGGGGTACACGTAGGTGGTGTCATAAGAAGGATTAATGTCGCTTGATTCCACCTCTAATTTTAAATAGTCTGCCTTTGCGCTGCTAGTGATTTAGATTGTTTGAACTGTCTTTTGAGCTGAAATATTGTTCATTTTCTCCGTATTTCTGCGCATGCTCAAAGGCCATCAGTACCACGGCAATTGTACATGTATAAATGTCCAGCCTTTCACTTGCTGCAGAAATTTAGCTATATTGTCAGGCAAGAGAGCTACTGTGCCACCCATTGGAAAAAAAATGTATCTTAATTCACAGGTTTATTAAGGCTGCACACGGATCAGAATTCGGCGAATTAACACTTTTTTTTACAATATGTAAAACTTATAAATCGGAAAAGTCATGGATAAAACTTGTGCTACCATTATGCATTCTATATAGACTTCAATGGGACTTGTACTACAGGAAGCTCTGCACCACGACGTCACCACGTGACGTCTATAATTAGAAAATATGCTTTAATGAAAAAGTGAAAAGTTCAACACTACACCGGGGATAATTAATTTCAATTTGTAGACATGGTTAAGTAAAAACATCTCTGTACCATGAAAAGTTTTGCTAGAATCCTACTGTTCTATCACAGACATAATTATTCAACACTTTCGAACGAAACCTTCACAAAATTTTTACATTTTGGTCATAAGATCGAAAAAATGCTTCAATTCCCGTTAAACACACGATTGTAGCAGCACTATCCAAAATTAATAGAATAAGAACTTTAGACAGAAACAAAAATTAAGTTTCCAAGTATGCGGCGTAGTGTTGAACTTTTCCATCATATTTTGTTAGGAAAGAATCTTTGTGTCATTCGCAGCTGTACAGCATATTCAAACAAGTTTTTACTAGTTGATCAACTGTTCAATTTTTTATTCACCATGCACTTTTACCACGTTCTTATTATCCGGAAATTCACAACAATTTCCTTTCGTATTTTACACACTCTCAGGATAGGGAGTACCTATATTGTAAATTCTTTTTAACCATGAATTATCAATTATCTGATGTAAAATGACAATGAAATGGAAACATAATAACAACGATTAAAACTTAAAGTTAGTTTAAAGCCAGTTTTTAAAATGTTTTACTCATGATTTTATTCATGTAATTATCATCGTGGCTTGCGACGATGATAATTATTTGAGAATTATTTTATTGAACTCATAAAATAATTAACATCTCATTTCCCCATGTGCACTTTCTAACACAACCACAAATAGATCGGCCGCTGCCGATATTAAGGGCACTGCAGAGCAAAACATCCCCTAGCAAAGAGCATATCTATAAATTAAAGCAGCATTGAGCATTCATCTATCCCCATGCAAATGACGTCATTTTCGTTTCGCACAGGACAAACTAACACACACACACACACACAAATAAACAAAAATCAACAGAGGCTTACTATATTCCCTCCAGCTCCTTTGAGAGGAGATAATAACTGCATGGCAACAGTTTTCAAGCACAAAAGTCCAATAAACAAAACAGAATTTTGACAGAACAAACACGGACCTCCAAAGAATCAGAGGTATAGGATCAGATGCCATGGAGGTGTGTGAGTTTTATGTCTTAATGTTGGATGATCGGGTGTCTAGGAGAAGTTAGTATCTTAATTAAAGGGAAGACTTCAGGTTTTCAGCATCAACTTCCATTATTTATGAGCATGTAGTAATTTTCCTTTCTCACTTGCTAAGCCTTTCGCCATATTCTGTATAGGCATGTTCGTAGATCTTTTTTTTTTAAAACAAGCAAGCTGTGTACTGATATCAATTTATTAATATGTTGCAGAGCTTTGTTTAACAGTTTGTTTAAAGACGGGATTTCACAAATTATTTGTTCATTATCAATACCTTGTTTGTGAGTATAATTAAGCTATTGGTGGGGCGCGTTTTGACTTTATTGCTTTATACCAAATGTTTGAGTAGTAAGCCAAGGTTTGACTACTAATTTTGAGTTTGGATTTCTGATCAGTACATTGGTTGAGGGCGGATGTTACCTATTGACAATGGATTCTGGGCATCTGACTAGTATGTTTGACATTTCGAGTGGTCTGTGTTTTTGGCAAGTTTACAATTTGCGTTGTTTAAGCCAAATTAAGGTCCGACCACTCAGACGACTTGTTACTCAGTAGTATTATTTTCCCTAATAATTTGTCATTGAAGTATTGATATACGTAAACAAGTCTCCTTACAACTCGAGGTGATTTACCAGGCATTTGAGAAAGATGGGATTATCATAACCGAGTCAACCTCATTCTGGACTCCAGCCTTAATTTTTGTTATTTCCCAACCAGCAAAGGTTTAGGAAGGCAACTTCCGTTGTTATCCACCGAGATCTTATTAAATTCCGCAGTGAGAGGTAAACCAACTGAACAACTCTTTTACTCCTCTGTTGACCAGTGACCAATTATTTACGAAAGCTCTTATTTCACCCCTTGGAAACTGGTTTGCCTTTAAAAAACAGAGAAGCTGTGTATTTCTCTTTATTTTTACAATCCATTTTATATTTTAAACAACTTCATTCAACACAAAAAAGTGCAAGAAATATTAAACACTATAAAATATCTTTTCCTGTAAAGAAAATGAGCCAACTGAAGCTTAACAATCTGAAACTTAGCTTTTATTAAAATTATTTACCAAAAATAAAAATCTCTTTGTATAAATACAACAGAGAAGCTATTGGTGGGGAATTTTTGACTTTTTTGCATTTATACTACTCCTGTGTAAGAAATGCCCTGACCATATTTGTTATTTTATCAAAATTTTCAACTACAAACATCAATTTGCGACTTGAATTTTTACTTACACTTCTGTACCTCTTTATCCTTTTGACTTATGAAATACCGTTTAAGATTCACATTAAACTTCTTGCAAAATCTTAACTTTTTATCATTTTGTTGATAATTTATTCCAATGGTTTACCTTTCGCCTGTTACGTAGGATTGGCTGTCCCTTTCCCTATGACCAAAAATGACCTGACGAAATCAAGTTTCATCACCCTCATGCAACCACTCTCACCGCATTTCTGGTGATAGGTTCACTCAGCATCTTTGACTATTTTTATCTGATACTAGGAAATATCATTCCTCTCGTTTCTCTCACACACTAATTTGTTTCTATTTTTAAGCAGTTCTTGTTATGATACTAGGAAGAGAATGTCCTCTCGTTTCTCTCTCACACAAATTTCTGTTATATATTTTTTTTTATGCAATTTTTGTTATGATAGGATTCTTAAAAAAAATCTTTAGAAATATCTTGCATTGTCACCATCACAACCTTAAACTCGGTGAACTTGTTTTTCAATACATTTTGAAGAAAGAAAAAAACCCGTTTAGAATTCAATTTTATTTCTATGAAACAACATTTGGAAAAATATGATCCAGATAAGTAACTTTAAAATCAATTAATTAATCGTCTCTTTTTAACTTAAGGTTTTCTCAGCATCATTCTCACTTCCTTCATTGAGAAGTAGAACCCCTTCCAGTGATACCAGTTGATTCCGTCGGAGTAATCCGTATTATCGTACTCTCCGTTCAGGTTCGATTTGTGACATGAGCGGTACCACCACGCCCCGTGCCGTACCTGTCCGCAGTTAGAGCTAGACACGTCATTATCGTTATCATAGGTACTGAAGTACATGCCGTTATGATACGAAAAACTGTCCCCTATTAATGACATAAAATGAACAAAAATGAGCTGAATTTAATTATATTGTATATACTTTTCATAAACTAATTATCTATATTTGTTGATTCCCTTACATGGCGTGGATATATATCAAACACATGGGGACTTTGTCCGTCGTCTGTCCTTCTGTCTGCCCCAAAATACGTTTAACATTGGTTTCTTATTGTCCCCCGCTGAGAGTGGGGGTTTTAATTTCGGTCGGTCTGTCTGTCTGTCTGTTGTTTTGTCTAGATGTCCGTCTAGCTATAGTTCTGTCTGAAACCTCGTTTCCAAACGGTATCTTGAGAAGCTTTGGGCTCAGGTGAGCTAAAAATTCAATTCTCAATTTATCCATGCGTACATGTATGGTATTGTTATAAAACAAAAAGAAGGATCATACCCGCTGTTCCATTATATCCGGAAACATGCATTCTGTATTTTTTATGTTCGTTGTCTACAGCGAAGGTACTGTACTCTGCATATTTCCATATACAGTCGTGGTCCATCATTTCTATCCTAAGATGACTGTACCCTTTGCCGGTTAGCTCTGCAATTTTTCTGTTGCCTATTTGCATATTGATTAAAAAAAAATAATTACAATGAACTATGCTAGCCAAGCGTATTTGATGCTCACAAATTTTTGACCAACAGTTCCAATGATTTGCAAATTTATGTTTTGGAAAACCATTCACAAAGTGTTTTAAATTGCCTATCCAGTGACAATATTTTCCTTTGTTGGTGAACTTTTATAGGAAAAGAATAGCTTTTCCGTTCTGTAAGAGTACATAATATACGTGATACATGTATGAAGTCAAAACAAAGATGTAGACTCAATCCCTCTCAATTTAAAAAATAATCACCCTTGAACTCTGCCTCTTGAATAATCATCAAATGCATGAACTTCAAATTTTAAAACACTTTTAAATTAATAATTGTTAATAACTTTATATCCATGTTGCCGAAAATCACGTGACTATCCATCTTGTCAAGTGACTCATTGACTAATAATTGAAAAATTAATCTCTGACATTTTCGATTATAAAATCTTCCTCTGCATCTTGTCTCTTTCTAGAATTACATACATAAAGGCAAAGAGGGCATTTTACCTAGCCAAAATTCTGATTCTTTATAACCGAATCCATTTTCGTACTCAGTCCAGTTTCTCCAGAAATTTACTGATCCATCCATTCTTCTTTGAAAAAGCTAGAAAATAGTAATTATTAAAAAAATATAATGAAACAATGGATTATAAAACTGACATCATTTTTTTAAAACAGTGAATTTAAGTTACGGTATACATTGAAATATTGTTAGAAAATGCCTTACAAGAATCTTTCAATTATTACATATGTACATAATTTTGAATGTTCCAATATCTTCTGTGAATATTATACTTTTATCCGTATGAACTGTGCCTTTAAGCCACCGAAAGTTTTTATTTTCTATGTTTACGGTCAATGAAATGCATTTGTTTACCAAAAGATACACAAAGTCAGTAATCTAAACCTGGATTATTTTGTTTGAACCTTTTTTTAAAAAATATAATCTGGTTTTTTTTCCCCTCTAAATTTGTCAATTAGATATAGACATAGCATTTGCTACTCAAAAAAGAAAGATGAAATCTAATATGACTATAAAGTTTCTTTTATCCTATGGATCTATCCAGGGTCGCGGAATAAGGAACTGATCCTGACATCGAAGGTTCGAATCCACTGCGAGACGTGGAGACCGGTCCTTCGGATTAGACCGTATAAACCGAGGTCCCTTGTCACAGTAGGTGCTAACACGAAAAAGATCCCTATTCTTCGTTGAGAGGGACCTCAAACAACAAACAAAATATTCTATGGATCATCAAGACAATCCTTTTTAGCAATTCATATTTTACCATCCATGAGTAAATTCCCTCATGGCAAACAGTTGATATTTCCGGTCCGTTTGTTAGCTGAATATCACAGTAGAAGTCTTTCCCTAAAAAATGATGTTGAATATTTTTTTTAAAGGATTGGCTGCTATACATTATATATTTTTTAAAGGATTTTTGTATTGAATTATATGTATTAAAAAAATATAATTAGTACATTTAAAAAAAAAAATTAAATCCATATACAAAATATTGTTTTACGTCGAAATAAAGCTAAATTGATTGATTGTTAGTGTTCAAAGTCGAGTCGACAATATATGTATTCTGTCTTCTTACCTATAGTGCTTGTTTTTGACTGTAAAGAAAAAAAATCTATTTTTTTATTATTATTTCAGGAAAATATATATTGATTTTATATAAATATATTACATAATCAATTTCTTGATATACTACCTTCTCATAACGAGAGTCTTTAAATGATGACGTCGGCAGCAGCGGAAGAAAGGCGGGAAAACCGTGTAAAAGTCTGCAGACGACAGTCCCGAGATCTAGGATATCCATACCAACACAATCTGGGTCTGCATCGCAGGAAATTCCACACTGAATTTCTGGAGATTCCGTTCTATTTTCTGGCGAAAATTCTTTCAAAATACAGGAATCAGATGGAATCTCTCCATATTGTATTAAGGAAAAGAAACTATCAGAAAGTTCTGTTAAAACCAGAGGAGGAATTAGGCAAATAGCAAGAATAACGAATTCCTCTGAAAATTGCATGTTTCCTACGAAAAACGTTTTCAGAATTGGTGTTTGTAATAGATTTCAATTTCCCGAAAATTTACTTTATAATTAACCCTGTACACTATGTTTTGGCTTAAAGACCCAATTTTTTTACCGTACGGTTACCTGAGGAGGGGGAGTGGTCCAAGGAACAGTGGTGTTATTTACCTGGAGACTCCCAATACCCAAGATGTCAAAAATCTATATACACGTAGCATTACACAGGAAGTCTGTGTCTGGTGATCAGGGTCAACATCTAAATTTGAGTGAAACTACTTGAAATAATTGAAATATTTCAATATAAAATTTATTTATAAATACTTTCAGCGATATCTAATGAAGACAAAAATTATAAAGAAATATCGTTTTTATATTAAAAAAAAAAGAAGACAAATTAAAGAAAAGAACACAGAGTAAAACTGCAAAGTAAACATATCTTTTTTTAATTAAACTTGTGTAAATATCAAAATTTAAAAAAAATAATAAAATATTCCATTCATAGGTAGGCCTATATATCCGTCGTGTGAACATATACAATGTACCGCGATAGGAATATTGCCTACGTTCTGATCAACAATAGTGTCGAAAATATTCACCATTTCCGGGTGTTCGTGTGTTTAAAATTTTTTTTATTGTTTGCAAGATTTCTTTTATACTTTTAAGAATTGATCTTTGGCTGTATATATTCACTTTTTAATTTCGAATATTGGGTATTGACAGAACTGATGTTAGGAAAATCGAACTAAAAGTTACAATCTCGAAACTCCTAGCTGTTTCTGACATTTCAGAACTTTACAACGGAACATGGTATAGATACGCAGATAAAACATGGGATAAATGAATTTTTTATCCGTGCCGTTTGTGCTAAATATCTTTTCTTATTTATCATATTCCAATTTTAATCGGCAAATAGCGTTTCTGTGCACGGACTGGTCTAAATTCTACAGCAGATACCTTGGATGACATATCGCCTAAAATACAATATAGCCGTTGAGATTAAAAGCAAATATTTTATGAAGTCATGTTTTAATTATCTACTCTCAATTGTTTTTAAAATAAATTTTACCAAGATTCTTTTTTTAACCCCCGTGTATACAAGGCGGCTACATGAAAGTGTTTGACGCGTGGCCAAGCAATCGTTTTCAAAGGACACAAACTCAGACTATCAGGTAGCACTGGTAACTGGCCTGTCAATCAAATCAGAAGCTATTGTTTTTTAATGATTGACAGGCGGTAAATTATTGATCTTGAATCAGGTAGATTATGGGGGCGTTAACATAAAATTGGGTGTTTAAAATCAACACCCATTAATTTGTAGACAGCTTCTATTGACTTTACTTAAAAGCAGTCCTCTGAAAATAGTTCATGTGTCAATATATTTACATCAGAAACATCAACTTTTAATCTGGAAAACTACAGGGGTCAAAAAAAAAAATTGTTAAAAAGTTAATTTAATTTGTCCATTAAACATCTATATACATCAGTGCAATGTATAACGGTCAGAAAATTAGCTATAATAACTGCTCGTGTGTCGGTTAATTACCTTATTTTGTAAAAGTTAATCAATGCCAGCTAATAGGCCTATTAATTTTTGTCCATTTTAATGTCCTTAATTAGTGTTGCGCATATTTTAAAGAAAATAAGAATTAAGTTTTTGAATTATTTTGTAGATTAGATTAATCCAAATTAAACGACTGACGGCCACGACAGTTTTTGAGGCAAAAGCAGGATTCTTCGGGTGACAGTCGGTAGTTCATCTCCAGTTGTCTTGTCCGATTTTTACCCATTTTTTCGTCGGCCGACCAATTTTGCGTCTGTCGGGCCATGTTATAATTTTTCCGTCGGTGGCCGGTTTCTTCAACTGAAGCACTCGTTGACCTGTTCGTCGACCATCGGCAGACAGTTGGTTAAGTCGGTAGTCGGTCGACTTTTAGGAATTGGGTTTTTGTAAATGTCGGCCGACGGTAAAAATCAAACTGAGCAAATGACGATCGGCCGACTCAGATTTATTTATTGTTTGAAAATTATCAGTGTTCTTGGGAATTGAAAAAAAATTGCGAAATACTGACTTTAAAAGAATTGTTGAAATTCTTTTAACACTTTTGTTTGCTCCGTCTTCATGACCTCATTCAATAACCGGCCACGGCAGATCTATAAGTCTTTTTAAAAAATTAACAACTGTTCCTTTTCCAGTAGTCCGAAATATCTGACGTTTATCTGTCTCTTTATGATTTTGATTTTTTACGTGCGAGGAAACCATCAGAACCGGCACCATAGTGGAATATTAGTACATAAACTAGAGGTACACTGTACTTTGAGCGAGTGCGTATCATTACCGCTAAATTTTCGAGATTTTCATTACCGCTACAAAAAATGTATACATTACCGCTACATTGCCTCTTTCGTAATTAGCCAGCCACTTATGTGTGTACAGTACAACCTATACATGCATAAGACCTGTTTCCACTGCTCACCACGGGGAGGTGAAAGTAGGACTTTGAGCAGGATGGGTTTTTTTTATTATCATTATACCCCCCGCTTGAAAAGCGGGAGGGTATATAGTAATCGTTAATTCCGTCCGTCTGTACGTCTGTCCGTCCGTCCGTCTATCTGTTACGCTTTGGGGTACCCATCTCTTATCCGCAACTCCTCTGATACCACTGAATGAAATTTGATGAAACTTTCACAGAATCTTTATTACATATTGCCATTGTGCACCTCCTATTTTACTTTTTGATCCGACACATATTTTGGGTTTCCCGGCCACAGCAAAACATAGACTTTGCAATTATAACTATATGGAGGCGGGGGGTATCATTTAGTGAGCTCATCGCTCACAGTACCTCTAGTTAAAATCAATTTTATTTCATAAAACACAAAAAAATTAAAACTGATACCAATAATTTGTCGAGGTCTGTTTTGCAGCTGCTTTTGCAACTCTTTTCAGCGCATCTCCACAATTTTGAGTTTTTGAAAGTCTTATTTTTTTCTAAATTTATAACCATCAATAAATAAGCCGACATTCCCTCGATTTGTAACAAACTTCTCAATGGTGGTCATAATGTTCAGATGACGCTAAATAATTACATTTCCACTGCAGAGTTATTAAGGTCTTCCGTTTCCAACGGAAGACCTACTGATTCTGTTGGTAAAGATTATTATTATGTCGTCCCAGACGAAGTCGTCGGGACGACATATTGCGATTTTATGCATGTTTTTTGTCCAGGCGTTTTCTCGAAGATGGCTGGGACAATCTTCCCGAAACTTTCCTCAAAGGACGATCACTGGTTGTTGTGGTGCCATGTGGTCATTCAGTTTCAAAATGGCTACCGTTGCCATGGAAACCTACAAAAAGCGACGAATTTTGACGAATTTTGTCCGCGAGTGTTCTCTCTGGTCCCTTGGACATTCTTCATGAAACTTTGTTGTTGTAATGGTTAGTATATGTAATTGTGCGATTTGCATTTAAAAATTGCAAATTGTCAACAGTATCCATGGAAACAGGGACAAAGTGAAAATTCTTTAACTTTGATTTTAAATCAAAGTACTGAAAGTACTGATACGAGTTGATGGTTTTCCAAGCTTAGCTATAATGGGTTTTGATTTAGTGATGGCAAAAAATGAAAGTCTTCTCTAATTTGAGACGACATAAGCTATTGCTTGCAATAGCAAACTTTCTAGTTCTTTTTTTTCTTCTACTTCCTAGACGCCAACTTTGAAGCCTCATATCTCCCTCATTTCTCAATTGATTTCGCTCAAATTTTCAGAGGAACTAGAAGTACTAAACTCTATCAGAATGCTGTCTAAAATTTCAAAAAGTCACTTCCGGTTTTGAGTTATTTTCCTTTATTATAGGCTTTCGTTTCCAGACAAAGGCTCAGAGACGGCTGAAGCTGGAGCAGAAATTCTACTGATTTAAGATAATAGAAGGATTGAAGTTGTGCACATCGGTTTTTGTTTTACGATTTCTCTATTCAAAATGGCGCTATATAGGGGTAAAAAATTAGAACGCTTAAAAGAGCCAAAAATTACTCGTATTTTGCTTTTTATCTTCTAAACTAAAAATATTTTGTTAAAAAATATAGAACATAATTTGTGCAGAATTAAAAGACCTTTCAAATGATATTTCGGAAAAAGGGCTGACCCCAGAATTAAGGGATCTAGAGGGGCCAAAAGTTTTTTCCAGATATCTCAAAAAGTATCGAGTATTTGTTATACATCAAAGAAGTAAAGTTGTTGAAAATCCCTGGTAAAACCTAATGATGTCATTAAAATACGTCCTGTGATGTCACTTCCGGCCAAACCGGAAGTAGTCCGAAACTGCATATTTTTGCCGTTTTTGACATGTTTTGGGAAAATATTTGTCACTGGAAGCATAAAACTTACTTTTCCGTCCGTCGACGTCACTTCCGGTCAAACAGGAAGTAGTAGAAAATGGCTTACTTTTGCAATTTTCAACATAGATTTGGAAGATTTAAATCATTAGAGACGTCATTTCTCTCTCTTTTTTTTAAAAAATAAAAGTTACTTCCGGTCAAACAGGACGGAAGACCTGCTCGTTGCCTTGCAACGAGCTTTGCTCTAGTTTATATATTTACTCATATTGATTAGAATTCAAATCAAAATTGTACTTCACTACATAGTGAGTAAATTCTGTTGATTAAAACGCATATACCGAACCATACCTGTCTAAATCGATATGTAGCGGTAATGAGTTGTTTTTGGCTGATTCAATATGTAGCGGTAATGAGTTGTTTTCGGCCTGAAAAATGTAGCGGTAATGCTCGGTCGAAAAATCTGAAAAAATGTAGCGGTAATGAGTTGAAATTTTTGGCAATATAGCGGTAATGTTGACCTCTCCTTTGAGCTATGAGCTCATTAAATGATACCTCCCATTTTGTTTTAATGGCAAAGTCCAAGTTTTGTTCCGGGAGACCTGAATCTAATTGCTGGCCTATTGCATGTATCAGTGTTTGAGTTGGAAAAAAACCCCAACAAACCTATCTTGCATAAGGAAAGGTCCTAATTCTGTAAGAATTTTTATTAGCAGATAGTACAGCATATTTTATTCTAATTAAATTCTTTTTTACAAAAAAGCATCATTGTGTTTAGAAATACACAAATTGCAGATATATTTCAAAAGAAACAAAACCAGAGTATATGAATAAGAAGTACATGTAAATTCTACAAATAAATCAAGATTAACGGATTTCTATTAATACAATCGAAATAATTAATTTAAAATTCTGTTTCTCAAGGTTTCCTCAGCATCATTCTCACTTCCTTCATTGAGTAGTAGAACCCCTTCCAGTGGAACCAGTTGATTCCGTCGGAGTAATCCGTATTATTGTACTCTCCGTTCAGGTTTGATTTGTGACATGCGCGGTACCACCACCCGCCACGGCGTGTCTTTCCACAATTGTTTTGCCAGGTATCATTATCATAATCGTACGTACTGAAGTATATTCCATCATGATACCCTAGACTGTCGCCTGTAGAAATAAATACAGTAATTATAAATACAAGAGGCCCATGGGCCTTATAGGTCACCTGAGCATTAAGTAACAACTGTCCAATGAGTGAATTTGGTTCAGGTTTTAATCTAGACACCATGGCATTCACAATTTTGAAAAAAGGCACCATTGCTCATCATAACTATACACTTAGCAATTGCTTAGTTTGGTTACTTAATACCCATTGGCAGGGTAGGGGAACAATGCATTTCAACCTGAATAAGTAATATTCAGCAATAATTAGTAGTGCCCCATACCACACATGAACCCCTGACCCTAGGTCCACACTTGTCACAATTCGCCATTATAAGGCACCCTTGCTTATCAAAAATGTTTGATTAACACCAAGGAGCAGATTTCAAATAATTAATTCATTATCAGTATATAAGTAGACCCCCCTCTCTTTGGTACCCCTGACCCAGGGGCCTTGAAATTCACAATTTTGGGAGGAGGGCCCTTGCTCATAATAGCTATGTAGGTAGTTCAACTGCTTAATACCCAGGAGCAGAGAAGAAGATTTTCGAAGATTTAATGTTTTTTGACTATAATCAATAAAGCCCCGCCCTAACACAAGAACCCTTGACCATGGGGCCATAAAATTCACAATTTTGAAAGAGGCATTCTTGCTCACCATAACTATGTACTTAGTTAGTTCATTTAATATCCAGGAGCAGAGAAGAATATTTTCAAAGACTTAATGTATTTCATTTAATCAACCAGAACCCACTATCCATAAAATTCATAACTTTACATTTTCATCATATATGCTTAGTTGTTTATTTAATACCCAGGAGCAGAGAAGAAGATTTTCAAAAATTAATATATTTTCACTATATAATCAATAGAGCCCCGCCCTAACACCAGAAACCCTGACCTTGGGGCAATAAAATTCACAATTCTGGAAGAGGCATTCCTGCTCATCATAACTATGTACTCAGTTAGTTTATTTAATACCCAGAAGCAGAGAAGAAGATTTTCAAAGACTTCATGCATTTTCACTAAATGTAATTGCTCATCATAACTTTTTGCTCATCATAACTATGTGCTTAGTTAATTTATTTTATACACTGTACCCAGGAGCAGAGAAGAAGATTTTCATAGATTAAAAATACATTTTCACTACATGCTAATAATCAATAGCGCCCCACCCTAACACCAGAACCCCTGACCCTGGGGCCATAAAATTCACAATTTGTGTACTTAGTATATTTAAGAGAGCATTCAAAGACTTAATGCATTTTCACTATATAATCATAACACTATGACCCTGGGGCCATGAAATTCATAATTTTCAGCTTTATTCAAATAACTAGTACTTTTTAATTTAAATACCCAGGAGCAGAGAAGAGAAGAAAGCATTTTCACTATATAATCAATGTATTTTTTTACTTGGTTAGTTTATATACAGAAAAGAAGATTTTTTTTTAAATAATGCATTTTTATTATATAATCTATTTAGCCCCGCCCTAGCACTAGAACCCCTAACCCTGCATGGGGCCATGAATTTCAAAATTTTGGTAGAGGACTCAATGCTGATTTCAATCATGCCAACAATTTGACTGTATGATGTCCAGGTGTAAAGAAGAAAAATTTTAAAGTTTGCATTAATTTTAATGGTTTTGGCCCTACCCCTCAGGCCCAAGGGGGGGGGCAGAGACCATGAAATCCACAATTTTTGTTCCCCTTCACCCATAGATGCTTTGTGATTTCAATCATGCCAACAATTTGACTGGACCATGAAAATTTTCACATTAATTTTAAGTTTTGTCAGGCCCCCCCTTCACCCATAGATGCTTTGTGTTAAAATAGGGTGAAATTTCTTCAGTGGTTGCAGAGAAGAAGCTGAAAAATGTTCAGATGTTAACACACGACGGACGACGACGGACAAAAACAGATAGCAATAGATCACCTGAGTAAAAAAGGCACCGCAAGGCGGAGCATCCTCTTGCAAGAAAAGCATATCTATAATTCAAGACAGATTTGACATCGATCCCGATGCAAATTACATTCTTTCCGTTTTGCACAGAACATAACCCACACACATCTTGCTTTACTATATTTCCTCCAACTCCTTTACCAGGGGAAAACGTCAGTCAGCATTTGACTCAATGGTAAATTGTATATGCTGAAAAGGTCATTGTATCGACCATAGAAAATACGAAATGATGACTTCAAACGAGACTTCTGATATTCTTGTTTCATCAACTTGTTTGTCAATAATTTACCTCGTTTTAAAAATTGTACATACGTAGAGCATGCTCTCGTGTATCGAATCAACTGAAAGATTTAAACCCCGTATGCAGGTGATGAAGGTATATTGCTGCATAAGTAAGGGAAGTTGACGATTGAAAAGTTAAAGTCATCACGTTGATCATAAAGCTTGGTTGTTAGATTACCATTAATGTCTTTTTCAAGTGAAATATCAAAATATATTTAATATGAAACAGAATGAGATGTGTGAGACTCCGTGATATCTTTATCTCAAGTTGAATTCTTTATTGTAAAGATTTTTCAAAGTCAAATACTACATATTTAAAGTAAAACTGACTTGGCCCTTTTAGGGAAGACTTTCTATAAAGTCAAATCGGGAAGCTTTTTCACCAGAAACTTAGATGTAGAGTGAGGGGGAGAAAAGCAACATACAATGTACCTGCATTTCCAGAATAATCAGCAACGCTTAATCTATATTTCGCAGTGCTGCCTTCTACTTTAAATGTTGCATATTCTGCATATTTCCATACACAGTCGTGGTCCATCATTTCTATTCTAAGATAAGTGTACCCCTCAGAGGTTAACTGATGGATATAAGCATTGCCTAAAACAAAACAAAAACTAATGTTTTCTTCAAATAAATTTCGAAATTTTGTGTGAAAAAAAGTTATACTCAAGTAAAATTTTGCCTCATGAGTGAAATAATCTTGCAAAGGACGTCACATAGCAGACCTCATCAAAAACGGGGCAAAAAAGATACTAGGGTTAGAAACAGACTTAACACAATTTGCACAACAGAAAAAAAGTTCCAGTTTTAGGTTTCAATAAATTGTTTACTTTAATACGCCTTTTAGATACAAAGGACGTCACATAGCAGACCTCAAAAAGGAAGCCGTGGTGATAACACATGAAAAAACTATATGAAAGAGTGCAGAAATTGTTTTGATCAAAATATAAACATTTTGTATCAAACTTATGAAAGTGATATGAACTTATTTCTGAATCAAATCAATGAAGCACTGTAAATGTAAACAAAATATTAATTGTAAAACACACCAGTAAAAAAAAGTTCGCATCATCCATTGTTTACTTGAAAAATATTATATCGGACCAGGTGAAATTTTTTCTAGACTTACCAATTATTGAAATTTCTACTTCAACATGTTCAAATTAAATGAAAAATGCGATTTTATATTATTCATGATTTTGTTTTTAGCTTGTTAATAAAAAAATTATCAAAACTCGTTACAAAAATCACATTTGTGAAATCTTTAATTTGACCCCGTCTTTCAGTATACTTTGATTTAGAGATCTACATATCAGAATCTCCCCATTTCTACAGGTAAAGGTCCATTCATGATTTTGTGACGTTATGGATATTAATACATGTATGAGTGCTAATTCCGTAATGATAGCTAGAACGTACTGTCCTATTCAAAAATTTGAATTTTTCAATGAAAATCTGTTTATGACAATTTAAATTTAATTTAAATTAAATCAAATACTAGTACACTAAAATGATATCCTGGAGGTACTAAGTCCACTGGATCAAGTACAAAATAAGACGAAAATAGTCCCATCCACATAATCTGCTCTAAATCGGTCTAGTTATTAAATTATTTATAATATTTTTGAAAGATGATAAATATTCATGCATAATTATATCATATTCTAATGTAAATATATGTACAAAACAATAAATGCAAATTACTTTTTAATGAATATTAACAAGCACGCTGATTAAAATAATTTAGTATAATGATATGATAAAATAACAACATAAACTTTTCTTTTTTTACTTAAGAACTACAATTTGACAGGTTGACAGGTGCAACAGGGACACTTACCCAGCCAAAATTCAGAGTCTATGGAACCGAACCCTGACTCGTACTCTGGCCAGTTCCTGGTAAAGTTGACTGCCCCGTTAATCCTCCTCTGAATTAACTAATGATGGCATCATACAGAAAATTAAGAGATTAATGACATGAAATTTTTACAATTTTTAAAAGTGTTGCTTTTTCATATCGATACATCAAATCCTAGCTGCAGAACTGTAGCGTTATGGTTTCATGTATTAGTCTTTGACAATAAAAATATGATCAAAGACAATGAAACATGGAGATAACGAACAGTATTCAAGATCAAAAGTCCATAAAACAATACAGAATAGGAGCAGAGCAAACACGGACCTCCAAAACCTCGGAGGTGGGATCAGGTGCCATGAAGGAGTGAGCATCCCCTGCTGACCGGTCACAACCGCCATTTGCTCCATGTCATCATCGGGAAATAACGGAAAAAAAATCCGTCGTCATGCAATTCAGTGTCTAAATAATGGACAAACAATTAGTATGAAACACGTTAGTCAGCATTCGACTCAATGATAAATTGTATTTGCTGACAAGGTCATTGTATCGACCATAGAACTTACGAAATGATGATTTTAAACGCGACAGCTGAAATTCTTGTTTCATCAACTTGTTTGTCAATAGTTTACCTTGTTTTAGAAAGTGTTCATACGTAGAGCATGCTCTTGTGTATCGAATCAACTGAGATATATAAACTCTGTATGCAGGTGATGAAGATATATTGCTGCATAAGTAAGGGAAGTTGACGATAAAATATATATATAATTATATACGTATATAACCGTAATGCTACAGTTCTGCAACAACTCAAATCCATGCAAACAAGAGAGAGAGAGAGAGAGAGAGAGATAGAGAGAGAGAGAGAGAGAATAATATAGAAAATATGAAGCTGCATTCAAAATACAAACTTAAGCCGTTGATGAGCTAAATACAGTATACCGGTATTCTAATATTGGCTGTATGATTTTTGATGATTGCATTAATAATTTTATGGAAATGCATGTAAAATATAAAGTATAGATGTATAAAAGCTTACCACCCAAGTGTAGACTCCTTTGTGACAAATTGTTGATACATTTTGTACGTTCAGTAATGGAATTGTGCAAAAATAGTCTTTGCCTTTAAAATAGACGAACATGTTTATGATGCGGAAGAAAAAAGGCCAAGATACACGTACCTCAATAATGTATAATTTCTCTAAAGAATTTTTCAATGAAGTATTGCTATTATAAGACGTTTTCTCACCAAAAAAAAATTGGGTACCTTACTGGGTATGCAAGAGAATGTTGTTTACAAAAGAATTTATTGTATATTACAAAGATACGCAAAACAGATTTTTACGAGTAAGAACGTTTCGTCAAGCATAAGCATACAAGGATTTGTGTTTACTAATGAAAAGCTTACAGAAACCTAAAAATGTAACATGCCCTATAGGGGGTCATGATTTGAACAAAATTGAACATACACTACTTTCAGAAAAGTTGATAATAAAATCTTACCAATAGCTTTCTCTCCTTTCTGAAATATACAAATATATAATTATACTTATCCATACAAAAACGTATGAAATAATTAAAAATAGAATAAAGACAAAATCAAAATTCTAGAATGAGATTTTATGAATAAGGCTTTATTAATTTCTTTTCATTTATTTTTTTTGGTTTTTTTTTTAAATTAATTATAATATGTTTTTTTACCTTTTGATAACGAGAGATTGATCCAGATGATGTCTGAGATGGAATTAAGGCCGAAAACCCTTTAACAATTCTGCAGACCTTTTCCTTTGTTCCAGCGATTTCCATCCCAACACACTGTTCGGTCCTGCTACACTGGACACCACATTCTATCCTTAGTGATGCAGAAGTGTTTGTTTCCAAAAATTCCGCCAAAATGCACGACTTAGAGCTCGAGGGTGTTTCTCCGGACTGTACGAGTGAAAGGCCAGTTTCCCTGATGTGGACATGAGAAAACACGGCGGGGAAAATTTGGTAAGGAAGAAGAATTAAAAATTTAAACGTCAATTTCATTTTCGTTAAAAAAATTAATGTATGACAGGGTATGCCTGATAGTATTAAATCTCAGAATAGAATCTATGAAACCGTTGTCTGCATATATGCATTGATATAGGATAGAATTCACAGTAAAATAACTGCATTTATATCCATCATCATCACATTATACTTTCAAATAGTATTATACATTCGTTTTAAAAGATTTCAAATCGCATGTAAGATCACAGTAAATTAAAATACCAATATGTCTTGCTCACGTAGTCGAAAATATATGATGATCACTTCAAAGTTGTCAGTCATGAAATTCCCATAATCGGATCGAATGCTATTCAAAATGCTATTTATTTCAAAAACATAATTTTGAATATTAATTATTGAAAACATAATTGAAGCGCGCCTCATCATCCAGCAACCGGAAGTTTAACAAAAAGTCTCGCGGTTTCTACCGAGATTCCAACAATTATACCTTAACCATGAAAGTCAGATTTTTTTTTACAATTAGGTTTTGAATAATTACGATATCAATGATACATTTCGTGGATATAGGGATTAATTGAAAAAAAAATAATTTTGTAATACACAATACCATTAAGATGATATGTCTTTTTCTTTCGAATTTTAAAGAATTTGTTCAAAATGAAATTGAATTATTATTCTATTCATTTTACAGTCTGCCTTCACTAGCTCTTTCTTTATCTGGATTGTCACGCGACAATCAAAATTAAAAAAAAAAAAGAGCTAGTGAAGATTTGATTTTAATAAGGCGGTTTATTTGAAATTTACATTTTCTTATATATTTTTCATATCAGCTTTAGACGGTTTATCTGAAATTTACATTTTTTATATATATATTTTTCATATCAGCTTCTTTTTCTCATTGTGTTTTTCACAGCGAGTTCAGAGAAATTCGATTTTGTTTTTGTTTTACCCCAATAGATACAATGAATGAAGAGGATCATACTACTGACATTTTTGAAATCCTTTTCTTGTCAGCAAGTACAAGTAGATTTCATTTCAAAAAAGAAGGGGGTATAATCTTGAAAAGAGGTTGAATCCTTTTATCAAGTCTTCAGATTTTTTTTATCAAGTATATTAATAGTGTTTGCACACATTGCTTAATCAACAAGAGGCCCACAGGCCTTATAGGTCACCTGAGTATCATGTAACAACTTTCACTCAATTGAATTTGGGTCGTGAAATTCCCAATTTTGAAAGAGACACCATTATTTATCATAATTATACACTTAGCATGCTTACTTTGGTTACTTAATACCCAGAGGTAGGTCAGAGTAAGAAAGAGAAAATGCAATTCCATTTTATAACCACCAATTGTTTTCCCCCACCCCACAGGAACCACTGTACCCTGGGGCCTCACATTTCAAAATTTTTATCATAAATTAAATTTTATTTCATCATAAATGCTTGATTAATACCAAAGAGCAGATTTCAAAGCATTAATTTATTTTCAGACTAAGACCCATCCACCCCCACACACCCGTACCCCTGACCCAGGGGCCCTGAAATTAATCATTTTGGAAGAGGAACCTTTCTTCATCATTAATATGTACTTAGATCATTGGCATAAAATCCAGGAGCAGATGAAAAGATTTTCAAAGAATTCATGCATTTTCACTATATTATCATTTGAGCCCACCCTAATACCAGAACCCCTGACTGAGGGGCCCTGAAATTCACAAATTGAAAAGAAGAATCCTTCCTCATCTTAATAATGTACTTAGTTATACCCTGGAGCAGAGAAGATTTTAAAAGAATTTATGCATTTTCATTATATAATCAATAGAACCCCGCCCTAACACCAGAATCCCTGACCCTGCGGGCCAGAACATTCACAATTTTGGAAGAGCTAGGCAGCCTTATTCAACATAACCATGTACTTAGTATATTTAATGCCCAGGAGCAGAGAAGGAGATTTTTAAAGAATAAATGTATTTTCACTATATTACCAATAGCCCCGCCCTAACACCAGAACCCCCAACCCAGGGGGCATGAAATTCACAATTTTGGAAGAGACATTCTTGCTCATGATAAATTTGTTCTTTTTAAGTTTATTTAATACTTAAGAGCAGAGAAGAAAATTTTCCAAAAAATGCATTTTCAATATATAATCAATAGAGCCCCGCCCTAACACCAGAACCCCTGACCCTGGGACCAGAAAATTCACAATTTTGGAAGAGGCAGCCTTATTCAACATAACCATGTACTTAGTATATTTAATGCCCAGGAGCAGAGAAGATTTTTAAAGAATAGATGTATTTTCACTATATTACCAATAGACCCCGCCCTAACACCAGAACCCCTGACCCAGGGGCCACAAAATTCACAATTTAAGAAGAAGCAGTCTTATTCAACATAACCATGTACTTGGTGAGTTTATTTAACGCCCAGGAGCAGAGAAGAAGATTTTTAAAGAATAAATGTATTTTCACTATATTACCAATAGAGCCCCACCCTAACACCAGAACCCCCAACCCAGGGGGCATGAAATTCACAATTTTGGAAGAGACATTCTTGCTCATGATAACTTTGTACTTTATAAGTTTACTTAATACATAGGAGCAGAGAAGAAATTTTTTTTAAAAAAAATGCATTTTCACTATATTATAAATAGAGCCCCGCCCTAACACCAGAACCCCTGACCCTGGGGCCATGAAATTCAAAACTTTTAAAGAGGCAATCATGTTCAACATAACTATGTAACTTGGTTAGTTTATTTAATGCCCAGGAGCAGGGAAGAAGTTTTTCAAAGAAATAATTCATTTACACTACATAACCTATATAGCCCCGCTCTAGCACTAGAACCCCTGACCCTGGGGCCATGAATTTCACAATTTTGGTAGAGGACTCAATGCTGATTACAATCATGCCAACAGTTTGACTGCTTAATGTCCAGGAGTAAAGAAGAAGATTTTTAAAGATTGCATTAATTTTAGTGTTTTTGACCCCGCCCCTCAGGCCCCAGGGGGGCGGGGACCATGAAATTCACAAATTTTGTTCCCCTTCACCCATAGATGCTTTGTGCCAAAATTGGTTGAAATTGGTAGAGCGGTTGCAGAGAAGAAGCTGAAAATGTTCAAATGTTAACACACGACGGACGACGACGGACGAAAACGGATAGCAATAGGTCACCTGAGTTTACTCAGGTGACCTAAAAATCAAAACAAAAAGGGGTCAATTCTTTTTTTTCGCTATTGTACTAAATTTAATCATTTTCAAAATGAAGTTTTCCCCTAATATTTTCTGTCAACATAGATCACGGGACAAAACATATACTTTTATTCGATTTAGAAAGACAAAGAAATATTCCAATAACTTCGCATAATCAATATTATTAATGGACTTGTACTCATTTTTTTAGGTCACCTGAGTCACTCAGGTGACCTATTGCTATCTGTTTTCGTCCGTCGTCGTACGTCGTTCGTTGTCAATCGGTCGTAAACTTTTGAACATTTTCAGCTTTTAGTCTGGAACGGCTGAGCCAATTTCAACCGAATTTGGTATACAGCATGTATGGGTGAAGGGGAACAAAAATTGTGAAATTCATGGCCCCTACCCTCCCGGGGCCTGAGGGGTGGGGCCAGAACCACCAAAATTAATGCAATCTTTAAAAATCTTCTTCTTTACTCCTGGACATCTAGCAGTCAAATTGTTACCATGGGGATATTCAGCATTGAGTCCTCTACCAAAATTGTGAATTTTATGGCCCCAGGGTCAGGGGTTCTGGTGTTAGGGCGGGACTCTATTGATTATATAGTGAAAATACATTAATTCTCTGAAAATCTTCTTCTCTGCTCCTGGGTATTAAATAAACTAACTAAGCACATAGTTATGATGAGCAAGGATGCCACTTTCAAAATTGTGAATTTTATGGCCCCAGGGTCAGGGGTTCTGGTGTTAGGGCGGGGCTCTATTGATTATATACATGTAGTGAAAATACATTATATCTCTGAGTCTTTTTCTCTGCTCCTGGATATTAAGTAAATTAACTTTGTACATAGTTATGATGAGCAAGACTGCCTCTTCCAAAATTGTGAATTTTATGGCCCCAGAATCAGGAGTTCTGGTGTTAGGGCGGGGCTCTATTGATTATATAGTGAAAATGCATTAATTCTCTGAAAATCTTCTTCTCTGCTCCTGGGTAAATAAACTAACTAAGTACATAGTTATGATGAGCAAGAATGCCTCTTTCAAAATTGTGAATTTAATGACCCCAGGGTCAAGGGTTCTTGTGTTAGAGCGGGGCTCTATTGATTATAGTGAAAATACATTAAATCTTCTCTGCTCCTGGGTATTAAGCAGATGAACTACCTTTATAGCTATTATGAGCAAGGGCCCTTCTTCCAGAATTGTGAATTTCAAGGCCCCTGGGTCAGGGGTACTACAGAATGGGGGGGGGCTCTACTTTTATACTGAAAATGAATTAATTGTATGAAATCTACTCCTTGGTATTAATCAAACATTTTTGATAAGCAAAGGTGCCTTTTCCAAAATTGTGACATGTGTGGACCTAGGGTCAGGGGTTCATGTGTGGTATGGGGCACTACTGATTATTGCTAAATATTACTGATTAGTTGAAATGCATTTTTTCCTCTACCCTGCCTATGGGTATTAAGTAACCAAACTAAGCAATTGCTAAGTGTATAGTTATGATGAGCAATGGTGCCTTTTTCAAAATTGTGAATGCAATGGTGTCTAGTTTAAAATATGAACCAAACTCAATCATTGGAAAGTTGTTGTATGATGCTCAGGTGACCTATAAGGCCCATGGGCCTCTTGTTCTTTACTGGTATTAAAGATTTAACGGAAAATAACATTTTTAAAAATCTTTTTCCTTCACCGAATTGATCAAAGTAGAGTATTCAAAGTATGAACGCAGATAGTATTACATGTGTAGAAGGAGCAGGTTTGAATAATATTTTACGGATGGACAGACAGAGAACCTTAGCTCCTCTGGACTCTTAACAAAAGAGCTTAAACCTAAATTACAAAACCCACTAAAATACATGTATGTCTTCTTCTGCATAGCAACTGTTCCTTCCTGTATGTTGAAACACAGAAAGCATTTTTATGCCCCAGTAATCGAAGATTCAGGGGTATATTGTTTTAGCCCCATCCGTTTGTCTGTCTGTTTGTCCAAAAAATCTTTAACCTTACCCATAACTTTTGACTGGTTGGGGCTATGACGTTAATATTTCACAGGTGTACAGTATCCCTTTTGACAAGACCTTTCTTTGAGTTCCAAGATGTTTCTTTGGTTTCCACCAAACTTGACCTTGACCATGGAGTTTGACCCAATTTTACAAAAAATACCAAACTTTAATCTTGGTCATAACCTTTAAACAGATGGTTCTAGGGCTTAAACTGGGCTTTCATACTTTACATGTGTATTCTGTGAAGACCTTCAAACTGTCAATACATATTTTTGACCTTAGAGTTTGACCAACTTTGTAAAAAACTTTCATGTTGGCCACAACGTTTGAATTGTTAAAAGATTGTTCTAGGGCTTTCATATTTCACAGGTTTATTCCTTGTGAAAAATCCTTCCATTTGATACAACAAATTTGACCGTTTGACTTTGGCCTTGGAGTTTGACTTGCAGTTGAGAAACGACAACCTTCCCCATAAGCTGCTATATAGGGCAGCAGTGTTTCACGACCAATCTTATTTAAATTATCACTAAAAAATAATCAAAAAACAAAAACAACTGAAAAATATCAATTGAATTTTATTTGACTGTATGAAATGTGATATAATAATAATATGATACATGTCCAAAAACATTCATAATATACATGTAAAATGTTAAAGCAATCCAACAGTAAAGACAAACATAGCAAAATTTCAACTTAATAGCACTTGACACTGAAAACAAAATATATCAAAAGACAGACATGATATAATCTACATATAAACAACGGTCTGTAATATGCTGATTTTTTTTAAAAATTGTATAATTAATATTATGCATATTATTTGAAGTAGGTCAAATATAGATACATTTGTACTGTAAAGCAATTACTTTTTATTTGCGATTTGTCAGACTGAATTTGAAAACAATTTGGGATCACAAGTTTTTACAAATGGGGTTTTTTTTTCCTGCCAAAATACTAATAAAATTAAATTTTTGTTAGCCGTTTACTACAAAACCACTAAAATAAGCCAAAGATAGCATCCGTTAAAAATATCCACAATACAGTACAAGATTCTTTGTAGTTTTCTGGAAATAAAGGAAATTTTTTTGGTTATTGAAATGAAATAACTCTCATAAATATACACAACTGCCCATCATATCACGTTTTCAAAGCCTAGATGGGTCATGCACATTACAACACAAGTCCTCATGTCAGAAAATATTGAGACCCCTTCAAATATAAAACTCTTCAAAATACAACATTTAAAATTACCGGTAACTAAAATATTTTCAAAAACGAATGAATTTTCGTTGTAAAAAAATATGACCAAATTCAGAGCAAAGAAAAAAAAACCAAACAACCAACCAACAACAAAACCCCCACTAAAATATGGCACAGACCTATGACTTTACAATGTATAGTCACATCAGGCAAGAAAAAATAAAGCAGATTTTGATTTGGTATAACCTCCTGGCCATCTTTCTATTTTAAATGAATATTAACAAATCCATCCTTTATTTTTGGGTTAGCTACATTAACTTTTTTGTGAAGAATCTGATACAGTAGATTGCATACTAAAAGTTATTAATTTTATTGCTATATATAGATATATTAACAAGAAATCTGTGAGCCAATGCTCACTAGTAATACCCCCACTCTGATGTAAATAAGCACTATCATGTTAATACAGGCAGATGCACAGAAAAATATGAAATTGACATCGGATTTGAGCAAAAATGTATCCTACCAAATGGCATGCCTCAGAGAAGATTGTGTTAAAATTTCAAGCATCTACCATGAGTAGTTGCTGAGAAAACTGCGACGAAAATTTGTTATGTATGAAACAGACAGACGCACAGACAAACAGGAAGTTGACATCGGATTTGAGCAAAAATGTATCCCACCATATGGCATGCCTCAGAGAAGATTGTGTTAAAATTTCAAGCATCTACCATGAGTAGTTGCTGAGAAAACTGCGACAAAAATTTGTTTCGGACGGACAGACAGACACACAAGGGTAAAACAGTATACCCCCCTCTCCTTCGGAGTGGGGGTATAATTATATGTACATACAATTCATGAACCTCAAAATGCAAACAGTCAAACCTTATTCATCAAGATGCTAGTGATCTGGAGGCTACATTGTTCTGAATGGAATTTGGAAGAAGTAACAAATTAATTTGCTTGTATATCTACTTGTATCAATTATAAAATGAAATCTAATTTATATCAAATTATTAGGATGCCTTAATTGTCAATTTGGACAATTTGCTGAAGAAGCATTTGGCTAAACATGACTTGACTGTATATATATATATGTCCGGAAAAAACATATTGTGTAAAATTTAATAATACAATGAAACACACTTATTATCAAGTGCTAGGGACGACAAAATTGCTACCTTATAAAATTAATTTGTTATATCTGTTAAGTTCATAATACTATTCAAAACTAAGGGGAATGAAAATTACTTCAGTATAAGTGTAAATTCATAAGTGTGTTAACTGTTAGTGTGTTATAAAGCATAAACCAAATTCTTCAAAACATGCAAAAAATAAAACATGTACTTAGCAATATACATACATGAATGCATTTAGATTATTTGCTTACAGCAAAATTGCCAGAGACAATTTTAAGGTTCACAAGTTTACGGAATAAAATTTACTTTGCTGTAAACATGAATTTTTTTTTGATTTTATTATATCTGTCAAAATACCAAAGACGTACATTTACGTTAAATCTTTTCTTAAAATGATTTTATAAAAAAAAATGGTAGTCTATATAGCAAATAACAACAATGCAAATATCTGATCAAAAAAAGCTACAATTGATGTATCTTGGACCCATTACCAGTAATATTCTTGGGGGGGGGGGGGGCTTGAAATCTCCCTCTGAACAATAAAAGCAGTTATAATCAAATTTGAAAAAAAAAAAATTTGCTTTTTAAATTAAAATTCCAGATTTATTTTTAGACAAAACCTGCTTCTATATTTTTTAACAGGAATTTCTACTTTATTTCTAGACAAGAATTTCTTCTTTATTTTTAGACAGGAATTCCTCCCCCACTTCTACAGATTCCATTCTGACAGTACCATACTATGTCATCCCGGCCATCTTCTGTTACTTCCACCACTTTTAGGGACACCCTGTAGTCCTGGTGACAATCTATTGGCTTCTCCTGTAGATCTAGTGCTCTGTTATCCATAAAACACAATGTCAGCATGTCTACTCCACTTGTCTTCATCTGTGACAACAACGGATAAAAAATGCTTGAGTAATTTTAAAACTAAAGCGAAATTAAGGTCAAATTTCCTAAAATATGCAAACTACATGTACATACAAAAGACAAAATAATCTTACATTCATATAAAACATAAACAAAATTTTCATACATTTACAAGCAGTAAACTTAATTCTATTCATTACCGTATAATCCCTATTAACTGCCCCGGGCGCTTAGAAAATTGCGAAAAGGGGGCGGTTATTTTGGTATTCTCTTTGTAATATTTAATATCATATCTTAACTTCAAAAAATATTTTGAAAAAACTAAATTCAAAGAATCTCTAAAATGATGTCCAACTTTACTTTAAATGAAGATAATCCACCCAAATTATGCTAAATGAATCATTTTCCACCAAGATATTTGATAATAAACAAGTTTCGTTTTCACTTTCTTCAAATTTTGGCAGACTTTTGATACGATTTTAGATAATTTCAATCACTGTACAGGGGGCCCTTATTTCCTGACAATTGAAAAAGACCTAAGGGGGCGCTTATAGGGGCAGGAGCGGTTAATAGGGATTATACAGTATTTTTTTTTTTTGCCATAACAACATATTGAAATCATTTACACTTTATTTGAGCTGATCAATTTTACATATGTTCCCTCCTTTTTGGTTCAGCAGAAGAAATTTTAAAATGACATTCCATTCTATTTTCATTACAGTTTAATGAGCCAGACCTCCCCCCCCCCTTCTTTCCACCACCACAAGAAAATGAACAACACCCTCCATTTGATGAAAAAAAAAGAACCCCCTTCATGCGTCAAAAGTTACCTTATTGCAAGTATAACAGAAATCGACTCTGTGTTTTTGGATGAGAATATGAAAATGTCAACAAAAATTACAAATAACACATAATACACTAATAAAACACAGACATTTAGACACACAGCTTTGTATATAAAAGAAAATGAGTAGTAGTACCCTCAAAAAGTTTTCCTCCACAAAATTTTTCCAGGACTGGTTACTGTACTCATATGGCAGCTTTGTTGTGAATGGGTTTCCATCTAGTTTCAGGATTTCCACTTTGATGCTCTTATCTGAAAATAAACCAAAGCCTATAAACCTTTAATCAAGTCCGGTGTAATTATCACTTCAATCTCAAGAGGGCAAATGTAGCCCCTACCCTGAAAATCACACAATATCAAATATAACCCCATCCCTGAAAAGACACAATATCAACTATAACCCCTTCCCTGTAAAGATGCAATATCAACTTGTATTGTTAAACATATAAAAACAGATGTAAGAAGGCAATGCTAAAATTCAACTCCTCACTGACCATTAGTATCCACTGTGATGTATCTATCCCGGACAAGCTGAAGGCTGTACTCGAACTCCTCTTCCTCGGTCAAAGATGGCTCCATATTATTGTATGGCACTGGTTCATCCTGGAACAGAATGGGGCATAATTTATTACAGTTTTCAGAGAATACTGTCTGACAGTGAAACAAAATCGATTACACAAGTGCAAGATAAACCAGATTTCAATGTACATATATATTATCATAACAGTAACTTGATCCGAAGGGTCGCATCACTTCGAGTTGACAGGCGCGGATCATCAGATCAAACGAAACGCGAAGTGTCAAATTTGATATGATGATCCGCGCCTGTCAACGAGACGTGATACTGCTCTTCGGATCAAGTTACTGTTATAATGATAAATTTATTATATACTCCCTTATAACTAGCTCATGATACCAAAATAAAACTTTAGGGATCAGTTGTATAACATTAATCCATAAAACAGAGCATACTAACAAGGGACTTATTAACACGCAAGAAAAATAACGTCATATTTCTGCGTTACTACGTCATCAGTTTCAGAGAGTGGTGATATGGATTCAGAAAACCACAGTGTGGTGATCCAGAAAGTCCGATCACGACGTCACACGATAGGGTAAAATCAACAGAAAATTGAGGGATACACATTAGGTATATAATAAACTATTTTAAACATTATATAATAATCACTCACCAATTCATTTAAGGGCTCCCCACTGTGAACGGACAAATCTCGGATCAGCTTCTCTGTTAAAATAAAGTTGTCCTGAACATTACGTTCATCAATTTACCCGCAGCAAAAGTATCAAACAAAACACAAACAGTCAAGCCTCATCTCAAACTTAATGGGACCAACATTTTATTTTTTAGTTTGTAGTTATCTATTGTGGATAAACTACATGTACTATACCACTGGAACTACAAAATAAGTGGATGGAACTTCAAAATCATTTCTACATATCACTGCTATTTGAAATATTAAAGTATTAAATTCCTATAATAATTGCTTAATCAAAAATACTAAACTCTTCTTACCATACTCTTCATCCTGCTCTTTCTGGCTTCTGGGAGAAGCTGATCGTGGGGAAGGGAAAGCCCCTCTAAAAACGCTGTCGGGGGTCGAGGTATAGTACCCTGAGGTTGGAGTTGTGAGAGCAAAGGGGGGCTTCCTCTGGGTCACTTGTGGGGTGAAGTACTTCTGGGGAGTCAATGGACTGTATGGGACCCTTGCCTCTGGGTTGGAGAGCCGCTTTGGGTTGTCTCTTGGTTTGGATGGGTTTTGAATCTGCAGTTTAAGAGGTTCCCTCTTGAAACTAATGGGAGTAGGTAGAGCTTTATTGGGATCTGGGTCCACAACAACCGTCTGCTTACTAGGGTCATCTGGGTCTTTAGCTATGGTGAATGGTCTTATTTCTTGGGCCACTACCTCACTTTGAGATCCACTAAACTCTTGTCCACTTAAGTTCAGACTGGAGCAGCCTTTCAGTGACCCTTCAGACTTGCTTGTAAGATCCCCAGATTTGCTGGTTGTGGGCTCATCACTAGCAAAAAGGTCATCATCTGATATACTTTTATCTTTATTCCATTCCTCCCACATGGTGCTTAGTGGGGGAGTTCCAGTGCCTTCTCTTCCAAACTGAATTGGGATCATTTTGGATGATGGCTTTGTCACTGTATCCCCAGCAGGCTGATTCCCCTTCATCAGATCTTGAGGCACGTGTTGTTCCTTTTCTTCTCTTGTCTCCTGAGGCAAGCCATTGGTCCCTGTTTCTTTCTCCTCTTCATTGGTCCCCATTTCTTCCTTCTTCTCTTCATTGGTCCCTGCTTCTTCCTTCTTCTCTTCATCTTCCCCTGAAATCTTCTCCTCTGGCGTGAAGAACCTTTCACTTGATCTGGATTTAGAAGTCGAGCTGTCAAAGTTAAACAGGATGGAATTCGGAAGGTTTCCTCCAACTGTTGTGTTACTGTTGTTGGTACTTTCATTACCACCATCTGAATGCTTTGCCAAAATATTTAAAACCGAATCACTGATGGCAGAGCTGGAGGAGTGATTGGATTTGCTGCTGGTCCCGTCGCTTCTCGTCGACGCAGACCGACTTCTTGAACCGCTCCCCCCTCCTGCCCCAACCCCATTTTCTGGTTCCTCTATCAGGGTCTGAATGATGTGGTCCTGGTTGAATTCACTGCTGCCGTGACTACCACTATTGATTTGAGAACTCTGGGACATCACTCCCAGCAGATCACTGGTGCTGCTGGTTTTGGAGAGCTGCTCATTCAAAGCCCTTGCGAGAAGCCTGTCTATTTCTGTCTCCTCCCCATCGTCTACCTCCTTCTGCTCATTATCATCCAACAGAAATTTGTCAACAATCAATGGTAAATTATTATACAAGTTTTCAGAGATATTTATGTCATCGTCTGCTGGTGGTTCTTCGGCATTGCTCTTGTGATCCATGTCTGTCTCTCCCCCATAATAAAGAGGAAGGACTGTCAGGTTCATATTTACGTGAGGAAAATCACTCAAATCGTCATGGACATATTTCCATAAAAAGTATTTTGGGTCTTTCATGCTTTCTTTGAAGATTTCCTCTGGAGTAGCTGTGATGGACTTCTTCAAGCTCTCAATATAAGGGTTTCCACCACTTGCAGATTCTTTTGAACTTTGTTCAAAACCTAACTCTCCAAGCTTGGGGACCAAGCCTGTGGATCCTTTCTCACTGACCATTACACCCAAAGGAACCATCAAGTCTACATTGTCTGAAGGAATTTCATTTTTCAGTCTTTCTCCTTTTTCCAACTTGACAGCAACAGTGTCTTCCATTTTGTTGGTCTTTCCCAATATATTGGTAATATTATCCCTAATTTCAAGACGATTAAACATTCCCTCTGGATTGTTCAGGCTTTCTTCCACTTCTTCTAGTACTTCCTGTGTTGGTCCCGTCAGCGTGTTTAATGGCAGACGTGTGTCATCATCAGTCAAGCTCCCAGAATTGAGAACAGAGTAGAGATTGTCTCCTCCATCATCTACAGAAAGTAGAAAGAAGAAAAAGCTTAAAATCTCCTTTACTTAACGATAATATATGTATATATACTGGTTTAGATAATACTCTCTTCGGTTGCATAAATTTCTATATCACTATGTAAAACAACAGAGTAAGAGCATTTATTAAAATATATTTACCTACAGTTTGTAATAGATTAATTCCAATGCAGTTGTTACAAACACATTTGAAACTCTTTTTTCCCTCAAACAGATCTCGGTAGAAATTACGGTAGTTATAATACATGTACACATAACATATAAGAGAGTTGCTGTTCAATTGATGGGAATTATCAGAAAAAAATTGGAAATATTTTAAATGTATTTGAATAAAAGAAATATCAGATTAAACAGATATCACATTAAAAGGAATCCATTTTTTCTAAACTTGAAAATGTTCTTTACACATAGAAATCCACCTACGTATGAGTTGGAATGCCTGATGCTGTAGCAGGTCTTTAGCCGATGGTCGGTTTTTTGGTTGTTTCTCGAGCCCAATTTTAATTAGGTTCTGCAACTCATGGTGTATGTTCTTTGGAATGTCTTCTACTGGTGGTGGCTTGGTAGCAATCTGATAAATAAATTCAATTAAATATTTGTAGCAATTTAATAAATAAATTCAAATATTTTTGAAAAAAAAAATCAAGTTAGCTGACAAATGTTTACTGTATACAGGGTTATTTTCGCCACAAGTTATTTTTGCCCTTTCACACAAGTTTATCCCATTTTAAATTCACCCAGTCACAGTTTTATTTATGATATCATACTGTATTTGTTTATTTCGCCCTGTTTTAAATTCGGCCATCTGTTTAATGGCAAAAGGGGTGAAAATAAAACAGGGGTGAAAAATTTCCCTGTATACAGTAATGAATTTTTACTGCATATGTTTTGAAACCAAATGGAATGCAATCTTTACCAGGAAATGTATGGCTGTTGCATTAGGATACCGCTTCACCCACGGTGGGTGCCCACTCAAAATGTGCACCAGGACACACATGGCTGCCCATAGGTCCGATTTAAAATTGTGCCCACTGCACTCTGCTTTCTCTGGGCTGAAGTGGGAGGGTGTGCCCACAAGATTGGAAACCTTTGTAGTCTGTCTCCTGGCCACTCCAAAGTCTGCCACCACAATCTCCTTACCATCCTCCCTCAGGAGAATATTGTCAGCTAGAAAATAAATGGGAATCAAATGAAGAAAATTGAGAACAATGCATTGTAAGCCAACCATTTTTTTGTGTGTAAGAAATATCCACAAGTTATGCCGTTTTCTACTTCTCCAATACATGTATAATTTTCTCCACTAATCATAACTTTTTATTTTGCTTTTCTGTAAAACATCTTCTCAGTTGAGAAAAAAATTAATAATCACAAATAAGTTACAAACTGTGGAATCATTTATAATATATGTCGCAATTATTAAATGATTAGTTAAAAGTATACAATGAAAAAATATTTATTACGATTTGAAAATAATATTTAGAACGTACATCTGAATTTCAAAATTACCAGTAAACAACCAAAATTTATAAGATTTCAATATATCTTTATCAGAATTTCTATAATTTTCTTACATTTGATGTCCTCATGAATAACAGATTTCTTTTCAAGGTACACCAGGACTTTTAAAAGCTGATTAAATAGCCGTAAAGCATTTCTCTGACTCATGCGTCTCATCAGGGTCTTCTGGTCGTTTATGACAGCAGTTAGGTTACCTCCTGCAAAATCAAGAAAATCATTGGACTACTCATTAAATGGAACAAAAGTGTGCAACTGTCTTGCAGTATGTAAATTCTTTAAAAAACATCTTAATTTTTGGAAAGATTGTCAAAATTGATGTCTTTTCCATCAAACAGAAAGATACTGAAGAACCAGACATATTCATGGGAATAATCCAAAAGAATTACAAGATTAAGTCAGTATTTAAAACACTCTAAGCAGATACACTTAAATTATACATATGCATCATATTACAGGCTGAACGTAAAACGTATGTACCAGGAATGAATTCGGAAATAATGTAGATTTTCTCCTTTCGTCGAAGTGCTCCATGGAACTTGACGATGTTGGGATGATCTAGGTCTGACCAAATCTTTATCTCGTCTTCTCTGTACTTGGAGATGTGTATCTGTCAATGATTATTTCAGGATTATTTTTTTAACAAAGTCTTTTTTTTAAATCTTTGATATATTTTTGCATTTCCTTCTTACATGCACCATTTTAATTCTGATTTCTTAAAAAATAGTCTTAGAGTACATAAACATAACATTGATTTTCTACTGTCTTATTTTAAAACAATTAAAGCATAAAAAAATTAGTTCAGCTTAAAAATGTTTAGAAATTTGCATAAACATGTTCACTCTTTTCTACATTTTAACATTCTGATCTGCATACTTGACATTTGGCCTCTGACATTTTTAATACAGAAATGGTAGTCAGTGTTGTAGTCCCTAGCCAACTGACATTTGACCTTCTGACCTTTTTAATACAGAAAGGTTGACATTTAATCTCTGACCTTTTTAATACAGAAATGGTAGTCAGTATTGTAGTCATAGCCAACATTTGACCTTCTGACCTTTTTAATACAGAAAGGTTGACATTTACCAGTAACCTCTGACTTTTTTTAATACAGAAAGGTTGACATTTGACCTCTGACCTTTTTTATACAGAAGTGGTAGTCAGTATTGTAGTCGCTAGCCAGATGACAGTTCCCGAACATTCCCCGTCCTAGGTGTGTCAGTCGAACCCACTGGAAATCCTTCTGATATCTGTGTCCCATGATCATCAGCTTTTTCTGATACAAAACAAATGACTCAATATTAAAAAAACAACATTCTTTAAAAAATACCTGTTTAACTATGGTGCAGATAAACTGAAATGATAAAATCTACTGTAGAGAACCTTGTGGTTGCATTAATTTCATCAAAAGCCCTTACTTGTAGAAATAAATTTAAAGAATTGATGAACTAATAATAAATGATTATATTTTTGTCTTGTGTTTTTAAGTTTTTTTCTTGAAAAGCTGTATATCAGGATGCGTAACTCCTGTTCTTACTTTACAGTCAGGGTAGATAACTCCCTCCTCCTTGACACTCTTTTGTAGTAGTCTTCCAAACTCTTTATACTGCAGCCTCAACTCCTCCCAGTACTTAATGAGCTCAAGTAAAACATCTCTATAACCATACACTACCTCCCCTGTAACAACAGTATCAATTATAAATCATCTCATTTGAATAGACAAGGCCACTCTACAAGAGAATTTCCTGAGAAGAAATTTTCTCAATGTTTACCCAGAGAGAATGACCAGTATTACCTATTCCAGGAGATCCTGTAGGTTTCTCTTTCAAGGAGAGAAACTGGTTCCCTTCAATATGCCAGCGCGGACTTCCCTCTCGTATGCTCTGAAGTTGGAGGCCGTAAATTTTTTCCAGCGAGGATGGTTCTGAGGGTACGGATGACTGAAAATCCGATTCAGAGGTATCTTCACTCTCCACGGGTGTTGGAACTGAACTGGTGGCTTCTGGGAAGGCATCTGCTTCTACGTCACGAAATTTACCAACTGGTTGCCTTTCCGCTCTGAAGGAAACTTTTCGGACTGGTTTCCCTCCAGTGGGGGACCTGAGTTGCTCGTTTTTGGGGATGGTAAATGAGGGTGGGGGCCCTGTTACCATGGGAGAGGGTGGATGTACATTTAACTTCCCCACAGATCCAAATTTTAGCAGAGGTTTCCCTGGTCGAATCTTAGGACGAATACTTGATTTAAGAATTTCAATGGTTCCGTCATCTCGTTTCTTTACAATGGGTTCGGACCGGGACATCCTGGAGGGGCTGGGGGTCTCGTGGGTGTCTGGGACATTCAGACTCCTGTCCTGGTCCTCCGGGATTATTTGCAGGGAGGGCATGTACAGCGTGCTGGGACGCTGAGTTTTTTGTGCTGAGGGAGGATTCACTGGACTACCTAAACTCTGGAAGCCGAAAGGACTGATGCTGGTCAAACTCGTCATCGAAAAATAGGTATCCCCGGAGTCTTCAACTTTGGTATCTGTTTTCTCTTTTCTACTTTGAATAAACCCGCCCATGTACTTCTTCAACTTCCTCCAAATCTTGCCCTCTTTGGTGAAGATCAGTTCTGGATTTACGTCGATCAAAAACGAGATTTTGCGACAGACAAGAACGGGACAGGAAGTACTGCTGTTATTTTCTCGACAAAGAAGTACATGCTGTTGTACGAGTCGGAATAGTTGAGTGCAGAGGTTACATTTCATGACTTCGCTGTTACAGTTGCCAAAGTGGGAGGTCAAGGCCGTCAGGCAGGTACATATGTCACAAAGTTCAAGGTCATTTTCTGTCTGTTTTTTCAAACAGAGTATGAGACATGGATTAACGTCCTCTATAAAGCCCTTCATCTCCGCCAATAAATCTGGAGGAATATCCTAAAGGGATAAAGATACAGAGGTACAAAAAGAAATTGAAAAAAAAATGTAAATTCCTATTAAAAATTTTAAAAAGCATGTTTAGTGATCCATCAAGTAGCTTAAAAACACCATTTCTCACAGACACTTGTATATATTTTTCCAATTTTTTTTTTTAATTAAAAAAAATTTAATTGTAACCTTTAAGAAAAGCAACCATTTTTAGGTAGGATATTTATCATAATTATGTATATCATCATTGATAATGATTTTCATGTTTGAACATTTAAGATGTCTTCAACAAAAAGTAAGCCCCTCACCTGATCCATAAGAAGTAACTGTCCGAGATAGTCAGACAATGGTCTCAGTCCATCTCGGAGCTGGCCGTGTTTTCTACGATACTTGTAGTTGGGATCCACACCCATCTCCTTTGGAGTGACTTCCCTTGATCGTCCAAACAGCTCCTGTGCCGGTCCTTTTCTGTTCAGAGGAGGATCCTCCTAAATTAGAGTTGAAATAATTTTATAAAACATCAAGTTCTCATTCATTGTGAGCATTTTCAAAGAAAATTGATTTATAGCTATTGCTATTTTCTATTGCAGCTACATTTACTTATACATTTGATGGCGATTTTGACTAGGTCTTTGCTAGATGGCGTTCAAGCTCAAATGCTCGAGGCCAAAAAAAAAAAAATCTTATCTCTCACCTAATGTTTCCCTATACAGTACAAATTTCATTCACATTTTTTCAATTATAATTTATATAACTTGTTGAATAAGTGCATCAATTGTGAAAATATTTTTATCCTAGCAGGTAAATTTCTCTTTATATGTCTTTTTTTGTATATATTTCATCAGGAAAACTAGAACAAATCAAGATAAGAAAGCCAAAATAATAAGTCTAATTGATTCCCGTAATAAAACAGATTGTTTCCCATACTGTAGATTCCTAATTATACGCGAGGAATTAATTATCGCGTAATTTTGCGAGAATCATCATCCGCGAAATAAAAATACTCGCTTTTATTTTTAAGGTGCTGAAATCCATGGAAATTCTTTTGATCAATCATCCATTCGCGAATAATTATTCTCGCGATTTGACGTTCAAGAGCCATCTCGCGATAATAAGTACTCGCGAAAAATAAGGAATCTACAGTAATAAATCCGATTGTTTCCCATAAATTCTACCCTTACCTTCTCGTCTCTATCTTTCTCATCATCATGATTTCTGTTTTCTTTCTCACTTAGATCATCTCCACTGGATTTCTATCAAAAACATTTTCTTATTTGTTCAAAATTGAATAACTAAGAGTCATTGAGACTTATAAAAGAAATAAAAAAGGAAATTTTAGCACTCCAGCTACCCAATTATTTGTGTCTGTACTTAGTTCATTACTGATATATAAAACAGAAAATAATAAATGTTCATATCATTCTTACCCTGCCTCTGTAGGAGTGATGTCCCCTGCCATCGCTGTCTGTGGGGTCTAAACTAAACAAGTTATCTCCCTTTCTTCTCTGATCAGATGAGGGGAACCTTAAAGCTGTCGTATGAATGTGATACTGTTCTGTACCCTTGGTTCTTCTTTTCTTGTGTACTGTTTACAATAGACATTAAAGACATGTACAGACTACACAAGCTTTTCAACTGAAGATTGAAGTCAGTGATAGTTTTTCTTTCTCCACCTTTTTATACTGTAAATCACTTTTTATTCGCGAGAACTTTATTTTCGCATAATTACGCGAGACAGTGTACTCGCGAAAATTTAATTCTCGCATATAATAGTATTCCTTAAGATATAGAGCAATAACCACAATTCGTGAAAATTTTGTCTTGCTAATCAAGAGTCAATGACTATCTTGCGAAAATAAGGTGTAGCGAAAATTAAGTGATCTAATATAAGTGTTGTGAAAAGCATAATAAACCCTTTTATAAAACTATTTTTGGTGTACAATACATCTACTACTATAATACATTAATTGTTAATGTTTTTGTTTTTTTGTATACATGTATATTTGGTGCATACTAAGGTTCTTCAAATTCCAGGGATGATAATTTTGCTTAAGGTTAATGTTTTTTTTTTCTTTTCCTGAGTTTTAGAATGACAAAATCTGTTTACACTCTGCTTTTTTTAAAACCTTATCATACAAGGACATTACACTTATAAACTTTGAGGAAGTGGTTACACAAGGACCAATTTTTTTTTTTACTAAGTATATAATGCCTACAAGCATGACGGAAACAATTATTTATAACTCATTTAATGCCAGATTTAGATTTAAACAACCCCATTTTAACATGACATTAAATAAATAGAAAAAGTTGATGATTCACAATGGGAACAGGTACAACTATGTGTTTTGAAAAAAAAAGGATCTGGATCAGGGAAGAGAATTAACTCATCTAAAAATAAAGAGGATGATGATTTGGGAAGAGAACTCAACTAAAAATAAAGAGGATGATGATCAGGGGAGAGAAGTCATCTAAAAATAAAGAGGATGATGATCAGGGGAGAGAAGTCATCTAAAAATAAAGAGGATGATGATCAGGGAAGAGAACTCATCTAAAAATAAAGAGGATGATGATCAGGGAAGAGAACTCATCTAAAAATAAAGAAGATGATGATCAGCCAAGAGAACTCATCTAAAAATAAAGAGGATGATGATCAGGGGGAGAGAACTCATCTAAAAATAAAGAGGGTGATGAGAAATCATCTAAAAATAAAGAGGATGTTGATCAGGGAAGAGAACTCATATAAAAATAAAGAGGATGATGATCAGGGGAGAGAAGTCATCTAAAAATAAAGAGGATGATGATCAGGGGAGAGAACTCATCTAAAAAATAAAGAGGATGATGATCAGGGGAGAGAACTCATCTAAAAATAAAGAGGATGATGATCAGGGGAGAGAATCATGTAAAAATAAAGATGATGACCAGGGGAGAAAACTCAGTTAGAAATACATTCCACATATATTTAGACAACTATCTCTTCTAATCTTACCTTTCAATATAGTAGATGTACTTTGATATTCTGTGCATACTTGTAGCTTTTCTTCCACGATTTCTGATATCCATAAAGACCATTTAAATTCAAGGCGATTGATGCTCTCCTGAATTTCTTGCAATGTTTTTTCTGCCAATGTTAAAAATAGTTTTTTTTTTAAATTAATGTGGAGAAATGGAACTTTAAAAACTTATTACTGCATAGCAAACACAGAGACAGACAGTGCTTTAAAGACCTAACTACGGTTAATAGGAAATATGCTTGTTTAACTTCCTTTCAAGGTTTTTTCACTCATATTGAGACACTACTTGTTGGTGGAAGGCTGCAAATTCAGACTTTTACTTGGCACTCAGGGCCACTGAGCAGTGAGGGAGTTGTTTTTTTTTGGTGCCATAGCCTACAGTGACACTGGACCCTGGTTATATGTTCTCATCAAAAGGACTAGGCTAGTCCATAAGATAAAAAAAAATTACACCTGTGCCATAAGATCCACGAATCGAAATACCTGTCTGTTCAATTTCCTTCTCAAGGTCAGCCATCTCTTTCTGAAGGTCATTAGGGTGACTGATAGTGTCAGGGTCACGCTCCATTTCCCTCTCCCCTTTCTCAGGGGCAAAGTCCTCATTAAAGCCAGCTTTCTTATCTACCTTCAGCGCTTCTCTCATTTCTTTGGTCTCGAAAGCTGGCTCTCTTAAACTGAGATTTTCTTCATCTGATTTTTCTCTGTATTCTAAAAATATTAAGGATTTTTTGATGTGGCATTTTTGGCATAAGGTTCGACAGCATTTTTTTTGGTCAAAAATTGCATTATCAACAGGTTACATGTAATTATCTAAATTCAGGTAAAAAAAAAAATTCTACACAATCTGCTTTTGTAATGAGTTAATTTATCCTGAAAACAACCAAATTACAAAACACAAAGCTAATCTTTAATTATTTTTTTCCTTTTTCAGTACCATTAAATTTGCCTTTAATGAAGAGCTTTTCAGGTGTAAAGGTCATGTCCCTCTGAGAGGTCAAGGACACGAGGCCCCACAGAGAAGAGTTTAGATCCCCCACAAGGTTTCCTAGATCCCCCATGTGTTCCTCAGCACTCCTACAACAGAACACAAAGTAAAACGTCTCTAAATTTACTGACATTTAAAATGTCGATATATTCCTGCAAGTTTGCCATTTACATGTACAGTAAAACTCGTTTAGTATGAACACGGATATTGCGAATTTATGGATATAAAGCAAAGTTATCTTGGATCCCAAGCTAAATAAATTTAATGAATTCCTGATACAGATACAACAAATTACGCATATAGTGAAGTAATTTCATAGGTCCAAATGACTTCGTTATAACCGAGTTTTTACTGTATTACATGTTTTAAAGTACATTTTACAAAAGCACTTATGACTATAAGACCAAAGTTTTATTCTGCTCTTTAAATTTACATAAAATTGAAGATATATTTAATCTTCTGCAAAGAAATATCATAGGATATTTAGCGCTAATAATTTCAAACTTTGCAAAATTTATGCAAGCTCTTTTGTAAAATGGGCCCCATATACACTAACAACTTTAAAAAAACAAAAGCGAAAAAAATAGTATATAAATTAACAAACACCTAATTTTACTGATATTTAAAATGTGGATATAAACAAGTTTGTCAATTAAATGTATAAGTACATGTTATAAAGTATATCACATACTTCATTTAAAAACAAATTAAGACAAAACAAAAATAGCATTATATAGTTATTTCTCAAAATCAATTATTTGATGTTTATGCTGTTCAAAGTAGAAAAAAGTCTTTAAAAGGTATCATTCACTTCATTTCACTTGTAAAATTCTGGGATGGCATGAAACCTAAGACTATTGAATTTTATATCATTCAGTTATATATGTTATTGAGTTATACGGACAAACTTTTGATGAACAAATTAAAATATAAGCATCAATTCACTGTGTGTTTGCTGTAAGCAAGTTTTACAGTATCATTAATAGTACTTTTCTTGGTGTAATTGATCCAAAATACCTACTTTTGCCTGTGCAGCTGGTGAGTCTGATGACTTATGCCATTCGTCACTTGTTTTTCTGGAATCCAGGTCTTTGGTGTGCTTCTATGGCATTCCTTTGGCTGGTTCTTCAACTCATTAAAGCTGGTACCCTTCTCTGATTTTAAGCTTTTATCCCCCTCTTCTTTGAACCTGTTGTCATCTTTAGTATGGATATCTCTGGATTACAAGAATTTGAAAAAAATCATTGGAATTTTTTTTTTTCAACATAATTTCTCTAAAATGTTTCAATGCTTACAACTACGAGATTTGATTCCACACATGATATTATTTGTCTTTTTAAATTTGTCTTATCAATTCTTTCATTATTATTTTTCAATTTTCATTACCTCTGCAGTCTTAAAAAACATTATCTTCATTACTGACTTGACTGAATCTGTTTTATTCAACCTATTCTAACCTTATGGTTGTCCAGTTCTTTGGTTCTAGATATTCACAATATCTGGCCACCTTCTCCATGGGGTCACAAACCAATTCCTTGGGGGATGTCTCTTTCCTTCCATTCATTCTATAATATCATAGAGAAGACAAAAACAATTAGTATGCAATGTCTCATTATACTGAATTTAAATAATTTAATATTTCTGTTTTAATCCAGCAAACAAAACCATTTTATTAAATAATAATTATTCTTCAGCTCTTAATTTTTAAAGTTGCAAATCATTGACCTAATTGTTAAAAAATTGAGACCTTGATGAGACCTGCCATCAGAATGAGGTCCTATTAAAAAAAGTCTTGGTCAAATAAACACACTTCCTCAAGCGTTTTAATTGACTAAAATTTAGAATATTAAAAAAAAATGTCATTTCAAATTTAATTTCTTTTCAAAATTTTCATTAACACTGCATTGCAGTCCTAGTCTAGTCTTTACTTTAGAGTTAAAACCAAAAATTCAAAGAAAAAAAATCAAATTTTTTTTTACGTTTTTTAAAAATAAGATGACCTTCAATCATTTTGCTTTTTCACTTTTTATAGATCTATTTTGAATTATCTTTTCATTGCCCTTTAAGCATTTCCTGTTTACTATTTTGGCTCTATATATATCATATACAAATACTTATCTATAGATGGATATAAATAAAATACATGTAATTTTATTTCCTGTTTACTTGAAACATGAAGTTCGTGTAAGATGATCTTCAGTCTGTAAATATTTCACTCAGCTGTCTTCCTTGTTTTTCAGTGTTAATAACACCCCCCTTACACCTACAACTTTGATCTCTGACACTACTGGGAACTATTCATACTGGCAAAATGACTATAAATGGTTATTTTTTTCAAAAAATATGCCCACTTGACTTAATTACAACGCTAATTTATTAAATTTTTTGAAGTGCACCAAATTAGTGCCTGCATTTATTGATTTAACTCATATAACTGTCCATAAATTATTTGCATTAAAATATTTCAATAAATAAAAATGGTATTGTGAAATATGAATGCATTAATATATAACAAAGTTACCAAAGAAAGAAAAAAATCCCAAAATTGTGATTGGTTTAGACAATCATGCACCTATAATTTGTTCTTTAGTTCGGCATTTGAAAATGAAAGTAAATTGTGAAATAGTACGCAATTTTGAGACAATTAAAATTTCACACTCTATACCAGCTGACATATTTCACTGTCAAAATTGTATTCAATTTTAAATTTTGCAAAGATAAGCACTTTCAATTGATGGATGCATGTTTTTGACCTTGCATTAAGATAATTTCTATACATAAATGTACTTTCCCTTAAAATTTTATGCATAAATGCAAAATAAATTAACTTCAATGATCATTTTCCCCTTCTCTCTCCTAACCTTTCTAGTGGCATATTTCATGTAGCATATAGCAATTATCAAATTTATATTAAGTAAACTTCATTTTTGTTTTTTAAATTTCACTTGTCAAGCATTTTAATTGTCAAGTATTAAACTGCATAATAGTTTATTTAAAAACTTAATCAGGAAATAAATGCATGTGTTTGACCAAAGTTGACACTGCTTTTTTTTTTTTAAATTAACATACATACAGATCATGAAGAGGGAAATTATTTAAAATTAATTTGCATGTCTAGCAAGGAAACAACATTGCCATGACTTATTAGTGAATTTGCAGATGCAAGAATTTCAATTGAAATTTTACTGTGTCTAAAACATAGATAAAACATCATGCAAGTTCAAAAATTTCAGATAATCAGGCTAAATATGGATAAAACTTGAAAAAAGTTTTAAAAGTGCTTAAATCTAATCATTTTGAATTGCATGAATATAAAATTGGGTTATCAATCAAGTAAATTGGATATATTTAGACTTTGAAGCATTTTTCCTTCTAAATCATGTAAATTCACTTACACTTTCTGTCAAATTGGGTAATTTATTCAAAGATGAATCATCAAAACTTGCATAGCGTACAAGATAGAAAAACAGTCTTGGCATAGTTGTTTACTTTTCTTTGTAACTGTTTAAAATTTTTATTATCCCCATTTATTATTTTTTTGTTTTTCATTTCATAAATCCAGTTAGTATTGGAGTAGCTAGAACAAAGCATTGTTACACATTTTAAAGATAAACTGAATACATAATATACATAAATTAGGTGATGTTCAATTTGTGTGTGCAGTTTGATGCAAATGCTACATGACTGTGCATGTGTCACTAAGGAATAAAAGAAATTACTCAGTACCTTATTTTGATCTGCCTTTCTTTGTTTTTTCTGTCTATCTCGGATTTGTCTCTTTTCTCTCTGTCTTTCTTTTCTTCCTGGCCCAAAATCTTTGCTTTATATTCAGACTTCTCTTTCCCAGTCTCTGTTGGGAAATCATAATGTCCACTAGGATCTACTTTCATTTTCTTACTTTCATTTTCTACATTCTTTCCTTCATATTTTTTCGTTTGGCCATCTTTGCTTTTCTCCTGGTAAATCTTATTGCTGTCTGAGTTTGATGCAGACACACTGTCAGGTATCTTCATTTTTCTACATGTAATATTTTTCGTATCTTCACGACTCTCCCTTTTGTTGCAAGACGTCACTTGTAAATTTTCACCATTTCTCTCCACTGCTCTCCGATTGGCCTGGTTGGCCAGGTTTTTCTTCTGGTTGACCTCTGAATGACCTTGACCCTGACAATTATACTGCGGCTGTTTTGTAATGTTTGCACTTGAAGTTGCAATCTTATGGGCCTTTCCTTCACTGCACTTGTCTAAAGTACTGATTGTGTAATTTCCGTGGAAGACCACCTTCGCCACACAGTCGTTGTCGCTCAGACAATGACGACGACCTCTAAGGCGTTGAACTACAGGAAACTCTTCAATATCCTTCATAATTTGTAAGAACCCACTTCAATAATCTTAAGGGTTTCTGGAAAAAAAAAGAAGAAAACTTATACACCAAGTGTTAAGTTTATGTACCGCAAATTACAATTAATCAAAAATTATAAATCACATGCTTTTTAGCAATTTTGAGTAATATCAATTTACATCCGTGTTTTTAAGCAATGAAACTGCTTTGCCATGAAATTACTACGTCAATTACAAAATATACTGCAGTATTTCATGACAGGTGGTGATATGTAAATTCATAAACGGCACGAAAAATTCAGGAAAACTTCCCATATCACTGTACAACAGAGGAAATAGAGAGTGTTCACATTTCACAATTATGCATACTGACTAAAATAGCTAAGTCGTCATTCATTTTTGCTTATGATATGCATTATTTTAAATTTTAAAGTTATCTGTACATTATTACAAATGTAACAGCAACTTCAAAAGAAAGGAAAAATATGCATTTATTGTGATTCTCAACAAAAAATGAATTTTCAGATTTTTTCAATTCTAATATGTTAATCAACTCAGTTAAAGGGATATAATAAAAAACAATGTACAGCATCACGAGATGTAAATGTTCTGCTTTCTCATTGCTGAATGGTGTATATAAATATAGCTCCACAAAATAACCTGAACTTTTTTAAATTAGAAGCACATCAGACAGGAAGGTTAAAAAACAAAGCAAAATGAAAGTGCTCTGGTCTTTAAAATGAAATGAATGTAAATAATGTTTGAAGCATGTATACCAATGTTTGTGTTTTATTTACTGTGGAACCTATATAATCATGCATCAAACTAGTTGAACAGGACAAAATTGCAGGTGTGGCATACTGGTCAGATCATTTGCTCTAAAGAGTTACTGAATCAATAAGGATTTGATCCTTCATGCTGGAATCCCATAATGGGATGCAAAGGCTGGTCCTTCAGTTGAGGCCAAATAAACCAAGCTTCTGTGTTGCAGAAGCTGTAGGCAAGAAAAAGACCCTTCACTGATCAAAAGAAAAAATTAAGCACTAACTATAAAGGGCAATTGTCCATCGGCAGGTGGAGGAGTCTTAATTAATTTGAATGAAATTTTCTTGAAGGGAAATTCAACATAGAAACAAACAGTTCAGGGCATTAGGCTTAAAGATTGCATATATGCAGATTTCAGTTTATAATGTTTTTAAGTGAATCAGCTAGGAATCAGGTTAAAAAATCAAAATTAAGAATCTGGTCAACAATAAAAATAAGCAAAAAACATACCTTCAGCATATATATGCACATTGTCACTAAGCAGATTAACTGCATATTTAGAGATGAATTATACAAAGAAAAAAAACAAAAAAATATTTTTTAAAGTATATTTGATAAATAATAAATAAAAATATATTTTTTTTTTTTTTTTTTAAAAGTATTAAAAAACATATACTCAGTAAATTTCCTATTTCTTGAAATAAAATTAGTAAAGCCATGTGAACATCTCCAAATTTTCAACAACAAAATAAAACATCATAATAAGTAAACAGAATTTTGAATTCCTTTCCATTATTTCCTGTTTGACTGCAAAAATTCCAAGAAATTGACTAATTTTAAACTAAATGAAATGTTTGCTAAAACTTTGATCCACCCATCTCTTTTACCATAAATCATCATGATTCAGGTAGTGCATTTTTTTTAAATACCTGAACATTAATTTCTCCCTTTCTCAGGTATATGTAACACCAGAATGCAAACACAACTACACCATTAATTGTTCTGTACTTACAGCTATTGTACAGGTGTATTCAATATCAAACTGCAGAGTTTACCTCTACTGTTGGACAGGTGAAAAACTCCCTTACCTGAACTTATTTAAAAGAGGTTTTATTAAATCCCATTAATTTGCATTTTTGATAAATGTCTGGCCCTTTGTCATGCATCATTTCCTAAAATAAGAGCTTTGGGAGAAAAACAGCAGACTTTTTTCAAATTCATCATAATCGTAATTTAATTCTATATCCCCATTATCAATTGATTTACACGTGCTTGAAAAAAAATTATAATCTCAAATGAATACAGACCTACCTGTGCACACAATGCATCGACACAATTAATGGAGTTCATCCAAATAAGTGCTTCCCCCCCATTTGAATTTCCGGGAATTTGGGCAATGCGTGAGGCAGTACTCGAACAGGTCTACACGATGAAGAAATACTTCCTCCTTTGACTAGGGCTCTGCGGTTTTTAAACTAACAAGGAAACACGACATTAATGTAGGTCAAGGCTGCCTACATTCAATGAGAGGGGGCCTAATAAAACATATCTATCAATTTCAAATTTGAAAAACATTTTATGTTGCAATTGTTTTAATTATCTTGATATTTATTTTCCCCGTACATTTTATGATAAGCTCATCTACGCATTAAATACTTCAGTCAATCACCTGGAGAGGAAATATATTATCTTACTCCATATCACTAGTCTTTTTTCTAATGATTTTAATTAACAGAATAATTAATTAACTTTGTTTTCTGATTGTTTTCTAAAAACACCTGTAGACTACTTGTATAGTTTCTTTAGCTGGTACAGACGTCAAAGCATAAATACACGTATTTGGACCCTTATTTTATACAGGAGTTAGGAACTAGATTAAAGGTCTCAGGACCTGATATATGAGGGATGGGGTGGAAAAGCATGGTGGGGTCTAGGGAGGGAATGGCACTTATTTATTCATTTTTTCTTAAACAAAATTCTCTTGACTTTAACCTTCCTTAATCTTAGAGGATAAAAGTTATCAATAACATACACTGTACAACATTATAAACAGTAAAGCTGGGCTTCATTTATAATTAAAATGAAGTGATTTGTTTATCATCTACTGGTATTTATTACTCCTTTAATTTTTAAAAATGCATTTCAAGCTTATCCTCATACATGTAATTTTATTTTTTGTTTGTATGTTGTTTAATATCCCTCTCGAGAATTTTTCACTCATATGGATGTGCCACCACTTGCCGGTGGAGAGCTACAAATTTTGTCCTATACTCGGCACTCAGGGCCATTGAGCATGTTGAGCAGTCAGGGATCTTTTTCATGCCAGCACTTAATGCGACAGCTGACCTTAGTTTATACAGTCTCATCCTGAGGACCGACCTCCACATCCCACAGTGGGATTCAAACTGGCAATGTAAGGATCAATGCCTTACTCTGTGACTCTAGAGGAGATGCTCTTACCTCTGCGCCACGTGGGGGACCCTCATATTTTTAATACCTCAAAATAATTGCATATATATCTACAGTGTGCTTATGATTAATTTTATTTTACCTAAAATTAAATTTACATTGTTAAAAAAATTCCTTGACTGATTGTCAGTTTATAAGACTATACAGTTAATACTTTTACAAATATTTTTTTCAGCTGAAAGGTTTTGTAATTAATTACATGTATCTAAGATTCCCATTAAATGGTCGACATAAAAAAAAAACCCTTGACTTTCAAATTTCATTTATGCACTGTTACATAATATCATATTCAAAATTATGACTGAAAATTTTGCTTCTGTCATTGAAAAGAAAGAGAATACTGGAAATATGTAGTCCTCATTGAAAATGGAAAAAAAAAATGATGTTAAAAAATAATGAAAAAAATGATGTTAGAATGTCAAGGAACAGTAGATAACGAAGCATTTTTATGTTGTCCTCAAGACAACTCCAGAATAAATTCTGAAAATGATGCAGGAAGCAGGAAATATGCCAAAAGCAAGATGTGCATGTGTGTTTAAGCATGAGTACCGGTACTAGTATGTAAATAATGGGAACTCTGTATCAGATGGAGACAATCTGTGAAGATAGGACTTATCTGTAAAATCACTGTAGACTAAAGATAGTGAGGACAAACGGAAGGAATAGGTGCTTCACAGCTGCATAATCTTGCGGGCAAAAAATATAGTAACATGGTAAAAGAAAAATTGAACCACTGACAGATGAAACTTAGCTACTGAAACAACTGTTGGCAAAATAAATTTCAAGTGATAAGAGAAAGAGTTTTAATGGGTGGGTCTTGAAATAGACTGAGTGAAAAGTCTAGAGAGAAAAAAATAAAGCTTCACATTTGAGGTTGTTCAACAAGCTAAATGAATTTTAAAATTGAATATATGATTTCTTTAAATATCACATGGAATGGAGTACCCGATTTAAATTTCTTGAAAATAGCAATGTATGCATGGCAAACATTGACAAGGTCTATGAATTTTTCAAACAGTCCAGCTAGCTCATACATTATCAAATTAGTCTTCATAACTTTTATAAAAATTAAAATTGTTAATAAAAGGCTGGCCATTGAGGTACTAAGTATTTTAATTTGAAAGATGGCATCAATTGCAACTAAGAAACCTGGTCCCAGGACCATGAAACAAACTGTATGACTTAAGTTTGCAATTTGCCTTTGAAATTCAGAGATGATTTAACAAATATGTTTATGAATTATGACAGCCTTCCTGGGTTGAAATTATTTACCAATTTCATTAAAATTGGATCCTTTGATCCACTCACATACATGTGTAGATCACTACACAAAGATCTGAGGAAACTCCATTTTAGGTTCATCTCCTTGTGACCTTTCTAATAAAAATATTCATTAAAATTTTGACCAAATTTTGAAACTTGATAAACAGGATCTTTTAATGATCCCTTAGGAATCTTGGTACACCGTCAATTGATGCTAATGATGTGTATAAACTATCGGGGCGTGACATTAAGGTAAATTCGTCGAGATAAAAAAAAAAAAATTGAAACTGCCATTTTTAACAAACATAAAGTTTGGAATAAAAATTCTCATGATCGTTGTTTATTTTAAATGATATAAATATAAAGACACATAATAACAAGAGCCTACCCTTGATCACAGATGAAGACTGGAAGACAAAACTGAATGTTGAGAAATAGAATAAGGATCTCTTTAACTTAAAAGATTACCTCTTCTCCTGCAAGGTATGATTTCAATGGGAAATTTGCAGTTGTTAAATAATCACGCTACATCAACATCGGTTAAAAGTCGTCAACCATCTCAAC